GCACGGCGCACCATTACCTTGACTCAGTCACACATGGTGCAGCAGGTCCTTCAGCGCTTCGGCTTCGAGTACTCCTCGCCACAGTCCACTCCTCTGCCTACCGGTCACTCGCTCTCAGCTCCACCTTCGAACGAGTCCGTAGAGCCGAGTGGCCCGTATCCAGAGCTTGTGGGCTGCCTCATGTACCTGATGACCTGCACTCGACCTGACCTTGCTTACCCTCTTAGCATCCTGGCACGCTACGTTGCGCCCGGGAGACACCTACCAGAGCACTGGAAGGCCGCTAAGAGGGTGATGCGCTACTTGTGCAGTACGTCGGGCATGGGGCTCGTGCTTGGAGGACGGGGTCGAGTTGTCGTCACAGGGTTACACTTTCAGCCCTGGCTCCGGCTCTGATTCTTGGCGGTCTACCGGCTCGTCTTCTGTTCTCAGCTCCAGTTGTGAGGCTGAGATCTACGCAGGGGCCATGGCTGCACAAGAGTTACGCTGGCTCACCTACCTGCTGACAGACTTGGGAGAGCCGCCTCGTTCTCCTCAAGTTCTGTACGTCGACAACAAGGCCATGATTGCCTTGTGTCAGGAGCACAGATTGGAGCACAGGACGAAGCACATCGCTCTGCGCTACTTCCTTGCTCGGTCCTATGGACCGGTTGGACCAATTGGCATGTTGGTCCTATGGACCGGTTGGACCAACTGGCCTGTTGGTCCTATGGACCGGTTGGACCAACTGGCCTGTTGGTCCTATGGACCGGTTGGACCAATTGGCCTGTTGGTCCTATGGACCGGTTGGACCAACTGGCCTGTTGGTCCTATGGACCGGTTGGACCAACTGGCCTGTTGGTCCTATGGACCGGTTGGACCAACTGGCCTGTTGGTCCTATGGACCGGTTGGACCAACTGGCCTGTTGGTCCTATGGACCGGTTGGACCAACTGGCCTGTTGGTCCTATGGACCGGTTGGACCAACTGGCCTGTTGGTCCTATGGACCGGTTGGACCAACTGGCCTGTTGGTCCTATGGACCGGTTGGATCAACTGGCCTGTTGGTCCTATGGACCGGTTGGACCAACTGGCCTGTTGGTCCTATGGACCGGTTGGACCAACTGGCCTGTTGGTCCTATGGACCGGTTGGACCAACTGGCCTGTTGGTCCTATGGACCGGTTGGACCAACTGGCTTGTTGGTCCTATGGACCGGTTGGACCAACTGGCCTGTTGGTCCTATGGACCGGTTGGACCAACTGGCCTGTTGGTCCTATGGACCGGTTGGACCAACTGGCCTGTTGGTCCTATGGACCTGTTGGACCAACTGGCCTGTTGGTCCTATGGACCGGTTGGACCAACTGGCCTGTTGGTCCTATGGACCGGTTGGACCAACTGGCCTGTTGGTCCTATGGACCGGTTGGACCAACTGGCCTGTTGGTCCTATGGACCGGTTGGACCAACTGGCCTGTTGGTCCTATGGACCGGTTGGACCAACTGGCATGTTGGTCCTATGGACCGATTGGACCAACTGGACTGTTGGTCCTATGGACCGGTTGGACCTACTGACCTGTTGGCCAAATGGACCGATTGGACCAACTGGCATGTTGGTCCTATGGACCGGTTGGACCAACTGGCCTGTTGGCCGAATGGTGGCATGTTGGTCCTATGGACCGGTTGGACCAACTGGCCTGTTGGCCGAATGGACCGGTTGGACCAACTAGCCTGTTGGTCCTATGGACTGGTTGTACCAACTGACCTATTGGTCCTATGGACCGGTTGGACCAACTGGCCTGTTGGCCAAATAGACTGGTTGGACCAACTGGCCAGTTGGCCATATGGACTGGTTGGACAAACTGGCATGTTGGTCCTATGGACCGGTTGGACCAACTGGCCTGTTGGCCGAATGGACCGGTTGGACCAACTGGCCTGTTGGTCCTATGGACCGGTTGGACCAACTGGCCTGTTGGCCAAATGGACCGATTGGACCAACTGGCATGTTGGTCCTATGGACCGGTTGGACCAACTGGCCTGTTGGCCGAATGGTGGCATGTTGGTCCTATGGACCGGTTGGACCAACTGGCCTGTTGGCCGAATGGACCGGTTGGACCAACTGGCCTGTTGGTCCTATGGACCGGTTGGACCAACTGGCCTGTTGGTCCTATGGACCGGTTGGACCAACTGGCCTGTTGGTCCTATGGACCGGTTGGACCTACTGACCTGTTGGCCAAATGGACCGATTGGACCAACTGGCATGTTGGTCCTATGGACCGGTTGGACCAACTGGCCTGTTGGCCGAATGGTGGCATGTTGGTCCTATGGACCGGTTGGACCAACTGGCCTGTTGGCCGAATGGACCGGTTGGACCAACTGGCCTGTTGGCCGAATGGACCGGTTGGACCAACTGGCCTGTTGGTCCTATGGACCGGTTGGACCAACTGGCATGTTGATCCTATGGACCGGTTGGACCAACTGGCCTGTTGGCCGAATGGACCGGTTGGACCAACTGGCCTGTTGGCCGAATGGACCGGTTGGACCAACTGGCCTGTTGGTCCTATGGACCGGTTGGACCAACTGGCATGTTGATCCTATGGACCGGTTGGACCAACTGGCCTGTTGGTCCTATGGACCGGTTGGACCAACTGGCATGTTGTTCCAATGGACCTGTTGGACCAACTTGCGTGTTGGTCCTATGGACCGGTTGGACCAACTGGCCTGTTGGTCCTATGGACCGGTTGGACCAACTGGCCTGTTGGTCCTATGGACCGGTTGGACCAACTGGCCTGTTGGTCCTATGGACCGGTTGGACCAACTGGCCTGTTGGTCCTATGGACCGGTTGGACCAACTGGCCTGTTGGTCCTATGGACCGGTTGGACCAACTGGCCTGTTGGTCCTATGGACCGGTTGGATCAACTGGCCTGTTGGTCCTATGGACCGGTTGGACCAACTGGCCTGTTGGTCCTATGGACCGGTTGGACCAACTGGCCTGTTGGTCCTATGGACCGGTTGGACCAACTGGCCTGTTGGTCCTATGGACCGGTTGGACCAACTGGCTTGTTGGTCCTATGGACCGGTTGGACCAACTGGCCTGTTGGTCCTATGGACCGGTTGGACCAACTGGCCTGTTGGTCCTATGGACCGGTTGGACCAACTGGCCTGTTGGTCCTATGGACCTGTTGGACCAACTGGCCTGTTGGTCCTATGGACCGGTTGGACCAACTGGCCTGTTGGTCCTATGGACCGGTTGGACCAACTGGCCTGTTGGTCCTATGGACCGGTTGGACCAACTGGCCTGTTGGTCCTATGGACCGGTTGGACCAACTGGCCTGTTGGTCCTATGGACCGGTTGGACCAACTGGCATGTTGGTCCTATGGACCGATTGGACCAACTGGACTGTTGGTCCTATGGACCGGTTGGACCTACTGACCTGTTGGCCAAATGGACCGATTGGACCAACTGGCATGTTGGTCCTATGGACCGGTTGGACCAACTGGCCTGTTGGCCGAATGGTGGCATGTTGGTCCTATGGACCGGTTGGACCAACTGGCCTGTTGGCCGAATGGACCGGTTGGACCAACTAGCCTGTTGGTCCTATGGACTGGTTGTACCAACTGACCTATTGGTCCTATGGACCGGTTGGACCAACTGGCCTGTTGGCCAAATAGACTGGTTGGACCAACTGGCCAGTTGGCCATATGGACTGGTTGGACAAACTGGCATGTTGGTCCTATGGACCGGTTGGACCAACTGGCCTGTTGGCCGAATGGACCGGTTGGACCAACTGGCCTGTTGGTCCTATGGACCGGTTGGACCAACTGGCCTATTGGTCCTATGGACCGGTTGGACCAACTGGCCTGTTGGCCAAATGGACTAGTTGGACCAACTGGCCTGTTGGTCCTATGGACCGGTTGGACCAACTGGCCTGTTGGTCCTATGGACCGGTTGGACCAACTGGCCTGTTGGTCCTATGGGCCGGTTGGACCAACTGGCCTGTTGGCCGAATGGACCGGTTGGACCAACTGGCCTGTTGGTCCTATGGACCGGTTGGACCAACTGACCTGTTGGTCGTATGGACCGGTTGGAGCAACTGGCCTGTTGGCCAAATGGACGGGTTGGACCAACTGGCCTGTTGGTCCTATGGACCGGTTGGACCAACTGGCCTGTTGGTCCTATGGACCGGTTGGACCAACTGGCCTGTTGGTCCTATGGACCGGTTGGACCAACTGGCCTGTTGGTCCTATGGACCGGTTGGACCAACTGGCATGTTGGTCGTATGGACCGGTTGGACCAACTGGCCTGTTGGTCCTATGGACCGGTTGGACCAACTGGCCTGTTGGTCCTATAGACCGGTTGGACCAACTGGCATGTTGGTCCTATGGACCGGTTGGACCAACTGGCCTGTTGGTCCTATGGACCGGTTGGACCAACTGGCCTGTTGGTCCTATGGACCGGTTGGACCAACTGGCCTGTTGGTCCTATGGATTGGTTGGACCAACTGGCCTGTTGGTCCTATGGACCGGTGGACCAACTGGCCTGTTGGTCCTATGGACCGGTTGGACCAACTGGCATGTTGGTCCTATGGACCGATTGAACCAACTGGCCTTTTGGTCCTATGGACCGGTTGGACCAACAGGCCTGTTGGTCCTATGGACCGGTTGGACCAACTGGCCTGTTGGTCTTATGGACCGGTTGGAGCAATTGGCCTGTTGGTCCTATGGACCGGTTGGAGCAACTGGCCTGTTGGTCCTATGGACCGGTTGGACCAACTGGCCTGTTGGTCCTATGGACCGGTTGGACCAACTGGCCTGTTGGTCCTATGGACCGGTTGGACCAACTGGCCAGTTGGTCCTATGGACCGGTTGGAGCAACTGGCCTGTTGTTCCAATGGACCTGTTGGACCAACTGGCCTGTTGTTCCTATAGATCGGTTGGACCAACTGGCCTGTTGGTCCTATGGACCGGTTGGACCAACTGGCCTGTTGGTCCTATGGACCGGTTGGACCAACTGGCCTGTTGGTCCTATGGACCGGTTGGACCAACTGACGTGTTGGTCCTATGGACCGGTTGGACCAACTTGCCTGTTGGTCCTATGGACCGGTTGGACCAACTGGCATGTTGGTCCTATGGACCGGTTGGACCAACAGGCCTGTTGGTCCTATGGACCGGCTGGACCAACAGGCCTGTTGGCCGAATGGACCGGCTGGACCAACTGGCCTGTTGGCCGAATGGACCGGTTGGACCAACTGGCCTGTTGGCCGAATGGACCGGTTGGACCAACTGGCCTGTTGGTCCTATGGACCGGTTGGACCAACTGGCATGTTGATCCTATGGACCGGTTGGACCAACTGGCCTGTTGGTCCTATGGACCGGTTGGACCAACTGGCATGTTGTTCCAATGGACCTGTTGGACCAACTTGCGTGTTGGTCCTATGGACCGGTTGGACCAACTTGCCTGTTGGTCCTATGGACCGGTTGGACCAACTGGCCTGTTGGTCCTATGGACCGGTTGGACCAACTGGCCTGTTGGTCCTATGGACCGGTTGGACCAACTGGCCTGTTGGTCCTATGGACCGGTTGGACCAACTGGCCTGTTGGTCCTATGGACCGGTTGGACCAACTGGCCTGTTGGTCCTATCGACCGATTGGACCAACTGGCCTGTTGGTCCTATGGACCGGTTGGACCAACTGGCCTGTTGGTCCTATGGACCGGTTTGACCAACTGGCCTGTTGGTCCTATGGACCGATTGGACCAACTGGCCTGTTGGTCCTATGGACCGATTGGACCAATTGGCCTGTTGGCCGAATGGACCGGTTGGACCAACTGGCCTGTTGGTCCTATGGACCGGTGGACCAACTGGCCTGTTGGTCCTATGGACCGGTTGGACCAACTGGCATGTTGGTCCTATGGACCGATTGAACCAACTGGCCTTTTGGTCCTATGGACCGGTTGGACCAACAGGCCTGTTGGTCCTATGGACCGGTTGGACCAACTGGCCTGCTGGTCCTATGGACCGGTTGGACCAACTGGCCTGTTGGTCCTATGGACCGGTTGGACCAACTTGCATAATGTTCCAATGGACCGGTTGGACCAACTGGCCTGTTGGCCGAATGGACCGGTTGGACCAACTGGCCTGTTGGTCCTATGGACCGGTTGGACCAACTGGCATGTTGATCCTATGGACCGGTTGGACCAACTGGCCTGTTGGTCCTATGGACCGGTTGGACCAACTGGCATGTTGTTCCAATGGACCTGTTGGACCAACTTGCGTGTTGGTCCTATGGACCGGTTGGACCAACTTGCCTGTTGGTCCTATGGACCGGTTGGACCAACTGGCCTGTTGGTCCTATGGACCGGTTGGACCAACTGGCCTGTTGGTCCTATGGACCGGTTGGACCAACTGGCCTGTTGGTCCTATGGACCGGTTGGACCAACTGGCCTGTTGGTCCTATGGACCGGTTGGACCAACTGGCCTGTTGGTCCTATCGACCGATTGGACCAACTGGCCTGTTGGTCCTATGGACCGGTTGGACCAACTGGCCTGTTGGTCCTATGGACCGGTTTGACCAACTGGCCTGTTGGTCCTATGGACCGATTGGACCAACTGGCCTGTTGGTCCTATGGACCGATTGGACCAACTGGCCTGTTGGCCGAATGGACCGGTTGGACCAACTGGCCTGTTGGTCCTATGGACCGGTGGACCAACTGGCCTGTTGGTCCTATGGACCGGTTGGACCAACTGGCATGTTGGTCCTATGGACCGATTGAACCAACTGGCCTTTTGGTCCTATGGACCGGTTGGACCAACAGGCCTGTTGGTCCTATGGACCGGTTGAACCAACTGGCCTGCTGGTCCTATGGACCGGTTGGACCAACAGGCCTGTTGGTCCTATGGACCGGTTGGACCAACTGGCATGTTGGTCCTATGGACCGGTTGGACCAACAGGCCTGTTGGTCCTATGGACCGGCTGGACCAACAGGCCTGTTGGCCGAATGGACCGGCTGGACCAACTGGCCTGTTGGCCGAATGGACCGGTTGGACCAACTGGCCTGTTGGCCGAATGGACCGGTTGGACCAACTGGCCTGTTGGTCCTATGGACCGGTTGGACCAACTGGCATGTTGATCCTATGGACCGGTTGGACCAACTGGCCTGTTGGTCCTATGGACCGGTTGGACCAACTGGCATGTTGTTCCAATGGACCTGTTGGACCAACTTGCGTGTTGGTCCTATGGACCGGTTGGACCAACTTGCCTGTTGGTCCTATGGACCGGTTGGACCAACTGGCCTGTTGGTCCTATGGACCGGTTGGACCAACTGGCCTGTTGGTCCTATGGACCGGTTGGACCAACTCGCCTGTTGGTCCTATGGACCGGTTGGACCAACTGGCCTGTTGGTCCTATCGACCGATTGGACCAACTGGCCTGTTGGTCCTATGGACCGGTTGAACCAACTGGCCTGTTGGTCCTATGGACCGGTTTGACCAACTGGCCTGTTGGTCCTATGGACCGATTGGACCAACTGGCCTGTTGGTCCTATGGACCGATTGGACCAACTGGCCTGTTGGCCGAATGGACCGGTTGGACCAACTGGCCTGTTGGTCCTATGGACCGGTGGACCAACTGGCCTGTTGGTCCTATGGACCGGTTGGACCAACTGGCATGTTGGTCCTATGGACCGATTGAACCAACTGGCCTTTTGGTCCTATGGACCGGTTGGACCAACAGGCCTGTTGGTCCTATGGACCGGTTGGACCAACTGGCCTGCTGGTCCTATGGACCGGTTGGACCAACTGGCCTGTTGGTCCTATGGACCGGTTGGACCAACTGGCATGTTGATCCTATGGACCGGTTGGACCAACTGGCTTGTTGGTCCTATGGACCGGTTGGACCAACTGGCATGTTGTTCCAATGGACCTGTTGGACCAACTTGCGTGTTGGTCCTATGGAGCGGTTGGACCAACTTGCCTGTTGGTCCTATGGACCGGTTGGACCAACTGGCCTGTTGGTCCTATGGACCGGTTGGACCAACTGGCCTGTTGGTCCTATCGACCGGTTGGACCAACTGGCCTGTTGGTCCTATGGACCGGTTGGACCAACTGGCCTGTTGGTCCTATGGACCGGTTGGACCAACTGGCCTGTTGGTCCTATCGACCGATTGGACCAACTGGCCTGTTGGTCATATGGACCGGTTGGACCAACTAGCCTGTTGGTCCTATGGACCGGTTTGACCAACTGGCCTGTTGGTCCTATGGACCGATTGGACCAACTGGCCTGTTGGTCCTATGGACCGATTGGACCAACTGGCCTGTTGGCCGAATGGACCGGTTGGACCAACTGGCCTGTTGGTCCTATGGACCGGTGGACCAACTGGCCTGTTGGTCCTATGGACCGGTTGGACCAACTGGCATGTTGGTCCTATGGACCGATTGAACCAACTGGCCTTTTGGTCCTATGGACCGGTTGGACCAACTGGCCTGCTGGTCCTATGGACCGGTTGGACCAACTGGCCTGTTGGTCCTATGGACCGGTTGGACCAACTTGCATAATGTTCCAATGGACCTGTTGGACCAACTGGCCTGTTGGCCGAATGGACCGGTTGGACCAACTGGCCTGTTGGCCGAATGGACCGGTTGGACCAACTGGCCTGTTGGTCCTATGGACCGGTTGGACCAACTGGCATGTTGATCCTATGGACCGGTTGGACCAACTGGCCTGTTGGTCCTATGGACCGGTTGGACCAACTGGCATGTTGTTCCAATGGACCTGTTGGACCAACTTGCGTGTTGGTCCTATGGACCGGTTGGACCAACTTGCCTGTTGGTCCTATGGACCGGTTGGACCAACTGGCCTGTTGGTCCTATGGACCGGTTGGACCAACTGGCCTGTTGGTCCTATGGACCGGTTGGACCAACTGGCCTGTTGGTCCTATGGACCGGTTGGACCAACTGGCCTGTTGGTCCTATGGACCGGTTGGACCAACTGGCCTGTTGGTCCTATCGACCGATTGGACCAACTGGCCTGTTGGTCCTATGGACTGGTTGGACCAACTGGCCTGTTGGTCCTATGGACCGGTTTGACCAACTGGCCTGTTGGTCCTATGGACCGATTGGACCAACTGGCCTGTTGGTCCTATGGACCGATTGGACCAACTGGCCTGTTGGCCGAATGGACCGGTTGGACCAACTGGCCTGTTGGTCCTATGGACCGGTGGACCAACTGGCCTGTTGGTCCTATGGACCGGTTGGACCAACTGGCATGTTGGTCCTATGGACCGATTGAACCAACTGGCCTTTTGGTCCTATGGACCGGTTGGACCAACAGGCCTGTTGGTCCTATGGACCGGTTGGACCAACTGGCCTGCTGGTCCTATGGACCGGTTGGACCAACTGGCCTGTTGGTCCTATGGACCGGTTGGACCAACTTGCATAATGTTCCAATGGACCTGTTGGACCAACTGGCCTGTTGGCCGAATGGACCGGTTGGACCAACTGGCCTGTTGGCCGAATGGACCGGTTGGACCAACTGGCCTGTTGGTCCTATGGACCGGTTGGACCAACTGGCATGTTGATCCTATGGACCGGTTGGACCAACTGGCCTGTTGGTCCTATGGACCGGTTGGACCAACTGGCATGTTGTTCCAATGGACCTGTTGGACCAACTTGCGTGTTGGTCCTATGGACCGGTTGGACCAACTTGCCTGTTGGTCCTATGGACCGGTTGGACCAACTGGCCTGTTGGTCCTATGGACCGGTTGGACCAACTGGCCTGTTGGTCCTATGGACCGGTTGGACCAACTGGCATGTTGATCCTATGGACCGGTTGGACCAACTGGCCTGTTGGTCCTATGAACCGGTTGGACCAACTGGCATGTTGTTCCAATGGACCTGTTGGACCAACTTGCGTGTTGGTCCTATGGACCGGTTGGACCAACTTGCCTGTTGGTCCTATGGACCGGTTGGACCAACTGGCCTGTTGGTCCTATGGACCGGTTGGACCAACTGGCCTGTTGGTCCTATGGACCGGTTGGACCAACTGGCCTGTTGGTCCTATGGACCGGTTGGACCAACTGGCCTGTTGGTCCTATGGACCGGTTGGACCAACTGGCCTGTTGGTCCTATGGACCGGTTGGACCAACTGGCCTGTTGGTCCTATGGACTGGTTGGACCAACTAGCATGTTGGTCCTATGGACCGGTTGGACCAACTGACCTTTTGGCCGAATGGACCGGTTGGACCAACTGGCCTGTCGACTGAATGGACCGGTTGGACCAACTGGCCTGTCGGCCGAATGGACCGGTTGGACCAACTGGCCTGTTGGTCCTATGGACCGGTTGGACCAACTGGCATGTTGGTCCTATGGACCGATTGAACCAACTGGCCTTTTGGTCCTATGGACCGGTTGGACCAACTGGCCTGTTGGTCCTATGGACCGGTTGGACCAACTGGCCTGCTGGTCCTATGGACCGGGTGGACCAACTGGCCTGTTGGTCCTATGGACCGGTTGGACCAACTGGCCTGTTGGTCCTATGGACCGGTTGGACTAACTAGCATGTTGGTCCTATGGACCGGTTGGACCAACTGACCTTTTGGCCGAATGGACCGGTTGGACCGACTGGCCTGTCGACCGAATGGACCGGTTGGACCAACTAGCCTGTCGGCCGAATGGACCGGTTGGACCAACTGGCATGTTGGTCCTATGGACCGGTTGGACCAACTGGCCTGTTGGCCGAATGGACCGGTTGGACCAACTGGCCTGTTGGTCCTATGGACCGGTTGGACCAACTGGCCTGTTGGTCCTATGGACCGGGTGGACCAACTGGCCTGTTGGTCCTATGGACCGGTTGGACCAACTGGCCTGTTGGTCCTCTGGACCGGTTGGACCAACTGGCTTGTTGGTCCTGTGGACCGGTTGGACCAACTGGCCTGTTGGTCCTGTGGACCGGTTGGACCAACTGGCCTGTTGGTCCTGTGGACCGGTTGGACCAACTGGCGTGTTGGTCCTATGGACCGGTTGGACCAACTGGCCTGTTGGTCCTGTGGACCGGTTGGACCAACTGGCCTGTTGGTCCTGTGGACCGGTTGGACCAACTGGCCTGTTGGTCCTATGGACCGGTTGGACCAACTGGCCTGTTGGTCCTATGGACCGGTTGGACCAACTGGCCTGTTGGTCCTATGGACCGGTTGGACCAACTGGCATGTTGGTCCTGTGGACCGGTTGGACCAACTGGCCTGTTGGTCCTATGGACCGGTTGGACCAACTGGCCTGTTGGTCCTATGGACCGGTTGGACCAACTGGCCTGTTGGTCCTGTAGACCGGTTGGACCAACTGGCCTGTTGGTCCTATGGACCGGTTGGACCAACTGGCCTGTTGGTCCTCTGGACCGGTTGGACCAACTGGCTTGTTGGTCCTATGGACCGGTTGGACCAACTGGCCTGTTGGTCCTCTGGACCGGTTGGACCAACTGGCCTGTTGGTCCTGTGGACCGGTTGGACCAACTGGCCTGTTGGTCCTGTGGACCGGTTGGACCAACTGGCCTGTTGGTCCTGTGGACCGGTTGGACCAACTGGCCTGTTGGTCCTCTGGACCGGTTGGACCAACTGGCCTGTTGGTCCTGTGGACCGGTTGGACCAACTGGCCTGTTGGTCCTGTGGACCGGTTGGACCAACTGGCCTGTTGGTCCTGTGGACCGGTTGGACCAACTGGCCTGTTGGTCCTATGGACCGGTTGGACCAACTGGCCTGTTGGTCCTGTGGACCGGTTGGACCAACAGGCCTGTTGGTCCTGTGGACCGGTTGGACCAACTGGCCTGTTGGTCCTGTGGACCGGTTGGACCAACAGGCCTGTTGGTCCTATGGACCGGTTGGACCAACTGGCCTGTTGGTCCTATGGACCGGTTGGACCAACAGGCCTGTTGGTCCTATGGACCGGTTGGACCAACTGGCCTGTTGGTCCTATGGACCGGTTGGACCAACTGGCCTGTTGGTCCTATGGACCGGTTGGACCAACTGGCCTGTTGGTCCTATGGACCGGTTGGACCAACTGGCCTGTTGGTCCTATGGACCGGTTGGACCAACTGGCGTGTTGGTCCTATGGACCGGTTGGACCAACTGGCCTGTTGGTCCTCTGGACCGGTTGGACCAACTGGCGTGTTGGTCCTGTGGACCGGTTGGACCAACTGGCCTGTTGGTCCTGTGGACCGGTTGGACCAACTGGCCTGTTGGTCATGTGGACCGGTTGGACCAACTGGCCTGTTGGTCCTGTGGACCGGTTGGACCAACTGGCCTGTTGGTCCTGTGGACCGGTTGGACCAACTGGCCTGTTGGTCCTGTGGACCGGTTGGACCAACTGGCCTGTTGGTCCTGTGGACCGGTTGGACCAACTGGCCTGTTGGTCCTGTGGACCGGTTGGACCAACTGGCCTGTTGGTCCTATGGACCGGTTGGACCAACTTGCCTGTTGGTCCTATGGACCGGTTGGACCAACTGGCCTGTTGGTCCTATGGACCGGTTGGACCAACTGGCCTGTTGGTCCTATGGACCGGTTGGACCAACTGGCCTGTTGGTCCTATGGACCGGTTGGACCAACTGGCCTGTTGGTCCTATGGACCGGTTGGACCAACTGGCCTGTTGGTCCTATCGACCGATTGGACCAACTGGCCTGTTGGTCCTATGGACTGGTTGGACCAACTGGCCTGTTGGTCCTATGGACCGGTTTGACCAACTGGCCTGTTGGTCCTATGGACCGATTGGACCAACTGGCCTGTTGGTCCTATGGACCGATTGGACCAACTGGCCTGTTGGCCGAATGGACCGGTTGGACCAACTGGCCTGTTGGTCCTATGGACCGGTGGACCAACTGGCCTGTTGGTCCTATGGACCGGTTGGACCAACTGGCATGTTGGTCCTATGGACCGATTGAACCAACTGGCCTTTTGGTCCTATGGACCGGTTGGACCAACAGGCCTGTTGGTCCTATGGACCGGTTGGACCAACTGGCCTGCTGGTCCTATGGACCGGTTGGACCAACTGGCCTGTTGGTCCTATGGACCGGTTGGACCAACTTGCATAATGTTCCAATGGACCTGTTGGACCAACTGGCCTGTTGGCCGAATGGACCGGTTGGACCAACTGGCCTGTTGGCCGAATGGACCGGTTGGACCAACTGGCCTGTTGGTCCTATGGACCGGTTGGACCAACTGGCATGTTGATCCTATGGACCGGTTGGACCAACTGGCCTGTTGGTCCTATGGACCGGTTGGACCAACTGGCATGTTGTTCCAATGGACCTGTTGGACCAACTTGCGTGTTGGTCCTATGGACCGGTTGGACCAACTTGCCTGTTGGTCCTATGGACCGGTTGGACCAACTGGCCTGTTGGTCCTATGGACCGGTTGGACCAACTGGCCTGTTGGTCCTATGGACCGGTTGGACCAACTGGCATGTTGATCCTATGGACCGGTTGGACCAACTGGCCTGTTGGTCCTATGAACCGGTTGGACCAACTGGCATGTTGTTCCAATGGACCTGTTGGACCAACTTGCGTGTTGGTCCTATGGACCGGTTGGACCAACTTGCCTGTTGGTCCTATGGACCGGTTGGACCAACTGGCCTGTTGGTCCTATGGACCGGTTGGACCAACTGGCCTGTTGGTCCTATGGACCGGTTGGACCAACTGGCCTGTTGGTCCTATGGACCGGTTGGACCAACTGGCCTGTTGGTCCTATGGACCGGTTGGACCAACTGGCCTGTTGGTCCTATGGACCGGTTGGACCAACTGGCCTGTTGGTCCTATGGACTGGTTGGACCAACTAGCATGTTGGTCCTATGGACCGGTTGGACCAACTGACCTTTTGGCCGAATGGACCGGTTGGACCAACTGGCCTGTCGACTGAATGGACCGGTTGGACCAACTGGCCTGTCGGCCGAATGGACCGGTTGGACCAACTGGCCTGTTGGTCCTATGGACCGGTTGGACCAACTGGCATGTTGGTCCTATGGACCGATTGAACCAACTGGCCTTTTGGTCCTATGGACCGGTTGGACCAACTGGCCTGTTGGTCCTATGGACCGGTTGGACCAACTGGCCTGCTGGTCCTATGGACCGGGTGGACCAACTGGCCTGTTGGTCCTATGGACCGGTTGGACCAACTGGCCTGTTGGTCCTATGGACCGGTTGGACTAACTAGCATGTTGGTCCTATGGACCGGTTGGACCAACTGACCTTTTGGCCGAATGGACCGGTTGGACCGACTGGCCTGTCGACCGAATGGACCGGTTGGACCAACTAGCCTGTCGGCCGAATGGACCGGTTGGACCAACTGGCATGTTGGTCCTATGGACCGGTTGGACCAACTGGCCTGTTGGCCGAATGGACCGGTTGGACCAACTGGCCTGTTGGTCCTATGGACCGGTTGGACCAACTGGCCTGTTGGTCCTATGGACCGGGTGGACCAACTGGCCTGTTGGTCCTATGGACCGGTTGGACCAACTGGCCTGTTGGTCCTCTGGACCGGTTGGACCAACTGGCTTGTTGGTCCTGTGGACCGGTTGGACCAACTGGCCTGTTGGTCCTGTGGACCGGTTGGACCAACTGGCCTGTTGGTCCTGTGGACCGGTTGGACCAACTGGCCTGTTGGTCCTATGGACCGGTTGGACCAACTGGCCTGTTGGTCCTGTGGACCGGTTGGACCAACTGGCCTGTTGGTCCTGTGGACCGGTTGGACCAACTGGCCTGTTGGTCCTATGGACCGGTTGGACCAACTGGCCTGTTGGTCCTATGGACCGGTTGGACCAACTGGCCTGTTGGTCCTATGGACCGGTTGGACCAACTGGCATGTTGGTCCTGTGGACCGGTTGGACCAACTGGCCTGTTGGTCCTATGGACCGGTTGGACCAACTGGCCTGTTGGTCCTATGGACCGGTTGGACCAACTGGCCTGTTGGTCCTGTAGACCGGTTGGACCAACTGGCCTGTTGGTCCTATGGACCGGTTGGACCAACTGGCCTGTTGGTCCTATGGACCGGTTGGACCAACTGGCCTGTTGGTCCTCTGGACCGGTTGGACCAACTGGCTTGTTGGTCCTCTGGACCGGTTGGACCAACTGGCCTGTTGGTCCTCTGGACCGGTTGGACCAACTGGCCTGTTGGTCCTGTGGACCGGTTGGACCAACTGGCCTGTTGGTCCTGTGGACCGGTTGGACCAACTGGCCTGTTGGTCCTGTGGACCGGTTGGACCAACTGGCCTGTTGGTCCTCTGGACCGGTTGGACCAACTGGCCTGTTGGTCCTGTGGACCGGTTGGACCAACTGGCCTGTTGGTCCTGTGGACCGGTTGGACCAACTGGCCTGTTGGTCCTGTGGACCGGTTGGACCAACTGGCCTGTTGGTCCTATGGACCGGTTGGACCAACTGGCCTGTTGGTCCTGTGGACCGGTTGGACCAACAGGCCTGTTGGTCCTGTGGACCGGTTGGACCAACTGGCCTGTTGGTCCTGTGGACCGGTTGGACCAACAGGCCTGTTGGTCCTATGGACCGGTTGGACCAACTGGCCTGTTGGTCCTATGGACCGGTTGGACCAACAGGCCTGTTGGTCCTATGGACCGGTTGGACCAACTGGCCTGTTGGTCCTATGGACCGGTTGGACCAACTGGCCTGTTGGTCCTATGGACCGGTTGGACCAACTGGCCTGTTGGTCCTATGGACCGGTTGGACCAACTGGCCTGTTGGTCCTATGGACCGGTTGGACCAACTGGCGTGTTGGTCCTATGGACCGGTTGGACCAACTGGCCTGTTGGTCCTCTGGACCGGTTGGACCAACTGGCGTGTTGGTCCTGTGGACCGGTTGGACCAACTGGCCTGTTGGTCCTGTGGACCGGTTGGACCAACTGGCGTGTTGGTCCTGTGGACCGGTTGGACCAACTGGCCTGTTGGTCCTGTGGACCGGTTGGACCAACTGGCCTGTTGGTCCTGTGGACCGGTTGGACCAACTGGCCTGTTGGTCCTGTGGACCGGTTGGACCAACTGGCCTGTTGGTCCTGTGGACCGGTTGGACCAACTGGCCTGTTGGTCCTGTGGACCGGTTGGACCAACTGGCCTGTTGGTCCTCTGGACCGGTTGGACCAACTGGCATGTTGGTCCTATGGACCGGTTGGACCAACTGGCCTGTTGGTCCTATGGACCGGTTGGACCAACTGGCATGTTGGTCCTGTGGACCGGTTGGACCAACTGGCTTGTTGGTCCTGTGGACCGGTTGGACCAACTGGCCTGTTGGTCCTGTGGACCGGTTGGACCAACTGGCGTGTTGGTCCTGTGGACCGGTTGGACCAACTGGCCTGTTGGTCCTGTGGACCGGTTGGACCAACTGGCCTGTTGGTCCTGTGGACCGGTTGGACCAACTGGCCTGTTGGTCCTGTGGACCGGTTGGACCAACTGGCCTGTTGGTCCTGTGGACCGGTTGGACCAACTGGCCTGTTGGTCCTGTGGACCGGTTGGACCAACTGGCCTGTTGGTCCTGTGGACCGGTTGGACCAACTGGCCTGTTGGTCCTGTGGACCGGTTGGACCAACTGGCCTGTTGGTCCTGTGGACCGGTTGGACCAACTGGCCTGTTGGTCCTGTGGACCGGTTGGACCAACTGGCCTGTTGGTCCTGTGGACCGGTTGGACCAACTGGCCTGTTGGTCCTGTGGACCGGTTGGACCAACTGGCCTGTTGGTCCTGTGGACCGGTTGGACCAACTGGCCTGTTGGTCCTGTGGACCGGTTGGACCAACTGGCCTGTTGGTCCTGTGGACCGGTTGGACCAACTGGCCTGTTGGTCCTGTGGACCGGTTGGACCAACTGGCCTGTTGGTCCTATGGACCGGTTGGACCAACTGGCCTGTTGGTCCTATGGACCGGTTGGACCAACTGGCCTGTTGGTCCTATGGACCGGTTGGACCAACTGGCCTGTTGGTCCTCTGGACCGGTTGGACCAACTGGCATGTTGGTCCTATGGACCGGTTGGACCAACTGGCCTGTTGGTCCTATGGACCGGTTGGACCAACTGGCCTGTTGGTCCTATGGACCGGTTGGACCAACTGGCCTGTTGGTCCTATAGACCGGTTGGACCAACTGGCCTGTTGGCCGAATGGACCGGTTGGACCAACTGGCCTATTGGTCCTATGAACCGGTTGGACCAACTGGCCTGTTGGTCCTATGGACCGGTTGGACCAACTGGCCTGTTGGTCCTATGGACCGGTTGGACCAACTGGCCTGTTGGTCCTCTGGACCGGTTGGACCAACTGGCCTGTTGGTCCTCTGGACCGGTTGGACCAACTGGCCTGTTGGTCCTCTGGACCGGTTGGACCAACTGGCCTGTTGGTCCTCTGGACCGGTTGGACCAACTGGCCTGTTGGTCCTGTGGACCGGTTGGACCAACTGGCCTGTTGGTCCTGTGGACCGGTTGGACCAACTGGCCTGTTGGTCCTGTGGACCGGTTGGACCAACTGGCCTGTTGGTCCTGTGGACCGGTTGGACCAACTGGCCTGTTGGTCCTGTGGACCGGTTGGACCAACTGGCCTGTTGGTCCTGTGGACCGGTTGGACCAACTGGCCTGTTGGTCCTGTGGACCGGTTGGACCAACAGGCCTGTTGGTCCTGTGGACCGGTTGGACCAACTGGCCTGTTGGTCCTATGGACCGGTTGGACCAACTGGCCTGTTGGTCCTATGGACCGGTTGGACCAACTGGCCTGTTGGTCCTATGGACCGGTTGGACCAACTGGCCTGTTGGTCCTATGGACCGGTTGGACCAACTGGCATGTTGGTCCTATGGACCGGTTGGACCAACTGGCCTGTTGGTCCTATGGACCGGTTGGACCAACTGGCCTGTTGGTCCTATGGACCGGTTGGACCAACTGGCCTGTTGGCCGAATGGACCGGTTGGACCAACTGGCCTATTGGTCCTATGAACCGGTTGGACCAACTGGCCTGTTGGCCGAATGGACCGGTTGGACCAACTGGCCTGTTGGTCCTGTGGACCGGTTGGACCAACTGGCCTGTTGGTCCTGTGGACCGGTTGGACCAACTGGCCTGTTGGTCCTCTGGACCGGTTGGACCAACTGGCCTGTTGGTCCTCTGGACCGGTTGGACCAACTGGCCTGTTGGTCCTCTGGACCGGTTGGACCAACTGGCCTGTTGGTCCTCTGGACCGGTTGGACCAACTGGCCTGTTGGTCCTATAGACCGGTTGGACCAACTGGCCTGTTGGCCGAATGGACCGGTTGGACCAACTGGCCTATTGGTCCTATGAACCGGTTGGACCAACTGGCCTGTTGGCCGAATGGACCGGTTGGACCAACTGGCCTGTTGGTCCTGTGGACCGGTTGGACCAACTGGCCTGTTGGTCCTGTGGACTGGTTGGACCAACTGGCCTGTTGGTCCTGTGGACCGGTTGGACCAACTGGCCTGTTGGTCCTGTGGACCGGTTGGACCAACTGGCCTGTTGGTCCTGTGGACCGGTTGGACCAACTGGCCTGTTGGTCCTGTGGACCGGTTGGACCAACTGGCCTGTTGGTCCTGTGGACCGGTTGGACCAACTGGCCTGTTGGTCCTGTGGACCGGTTGGACCAACTGGCCTGTTGGTCCTGTGGACCGGTTGGACCAACTGGCCTGTTGGTCCTGTGGACCGGTTGGACCAACTGGCCTGTTGGTCCTGTGGACCGGTTGGACCAACTGGCCTGTTGGTCCTGTGGACCGGTTGGACCAACTGGCCTGTTGGTCCTGTGGACCGGTTGGACCAACTGGCCTGTTGGTCCTGTGGACCGGTTGGACCAACTGGCCTGTTGGTCCTGTGGACCGGTTGGACCAACTGGCCTGTTGGTCCTATGGACCGGTTGGACCAACTGGCCTGTTGGTCCTGTGGACCGGTTGGACCAACAGGCCTGTTGGTCCTGTGGACCGGTTGGACCAACTGGCCTGTTGGTCCTGTGGACCGGTTGGACCAACAGGCCTGTTGGTCCTATGGACCGGTTGGACCAACTGGCCTGTTGGTCCTATGGACCGGTTGGACCAACAGGCCTGTTGGTCCTATGGACCGGTTGGACCAACTGGCCTGTTGGTCCTATGGACCGGTTGGACCAACAGGCCTGTTGGTCCTATGGACCGGTTGGACCAACTGGCCTGTTGGTCCTATGGACCGGTTGGACCAACTGGCCTGTTGGTCCTATGGACCGGTTGGACCAACTGGCCTGTTGGTCCTATGGACCGGTTGGACCAACTGGCCTGTTGGTCCTCTGGACCGGTTGGACCAACTGGCGTGTTGGTCCTGTGGACCGGTTGGACCAACTGGCCTGTTGGTCCTGTGGACCGGTTGGACCAACTGGCGTGTTGGTCCTGTGGACCGGTTGGACCAACTGGCCTGTTGGTCCTGTGGACCGGTTGGACCAACTGGCCTGTTGGTCCTGTGGACCGGTTGGACCAACTGGCCTGTTGGTCCTGTGGACCGGTTGGACCAACTGGCCTGTTGGTCCTGTGGACCGGTTGGACCAACTGGCCTGTTGGTCCTGTGGACCGGTTGGACCAACTGGCCTGTTGGTCCTGTGGACCGGTTGGACCAACTGGCCTGTTGGTCCTGTGGACCGGTTGGACCAACTGGCCTGTTGGTCCTCTGGACCGGTTGGACCAACTGGCATGTTGGTCCTATGGACCGGTTGGACCAACTGGCCTGTTGGTCCTATGGACCGGTTGGACCAACTGGCATGTTGGTCCTGTGGACCGGTTGGACCAACTGGCTTGTTGGTCCTGTGGACCGGTTGGACCAACTGGCCTGTTGGTCCTGTGGACCGGTTGGACCAACTGGCCTGTTGGTCCTGTGGACCGGTTGGACCAACTGGCCTGTTGGTCCTGTGGACCGGTTGGACCAACTGGCCTGTTGGTCCTGTGGACCGGTTGGACCAACTGGCCTGTTGGTCCTGTGGACCGGTTGGACCAACTGGCCTGTTGGTCCTGTGGACCGGTTGGACCAACTGGCCTGTTGGTCCTGTGGACCGGTTGGACCAACTGGCCTGTTGGTCCTGTGGACCGGTTGGACCAACTGGCCTGTTGGTCCTGTGGACCGGTTGGACCAACTGGCCTGTTGGTCCTGTGGACCGGTTGGACCAACTGGCCTGTTGGTCCTGTGGACCGGTTGGACCAACTGGCCTGTTGGTCCTGTGGACCGGTTGGACCAACTGGCCTGTTGGTCCTGTGGACCGGTTGGACCAACTGGCCTGTTGGTCCTGTGGACCGGTTGGACCAACTGGCCTGTTGGTCCTGTGGACCGGTTGGACCAACTGGCCTGTTGGTCCTGTGGACCGGTTGGACCAACTGGCCTGTTGGTCCTGTGGACCGGTTGGACCAACTGGCCTGTTGGTCCTGTGGACCGGTTGGACCAACTGGCCTGTTGGTCCTATGGACCGGTTGGACCAACTGGCCTGTTGGTCCTATGGACCGGTTGGACCAACTGGCCTGTTGGTCCTATGGACCGGTTGGACCAACTGGCCTGTTGGTCCTCTGGACCGGTTGGACCAACTGGCATGTTGGTCCTATGGACCGGTTGGACCAACTGGCCTGTTGGTCCTATGGACCGGTTGGACCAACTGGCCTGTTGGTCCTATGGACCGGTTGGACCAACTGGCCTGTTGGTCCTATAGACCGGTTGGACCAACTGGCCTGTTGGCCGAATGGACCGGTTGGACCAACTGGCCTATTGGTCCTATGAACCGGTTGGACCAACTGGCCTGTTGGTCCTATGGACCGGTTGGACCAACTGGCCTGTTGGTCCTATGGACCGGTTGGACCAACTGGCCTGTTGGTCCTCTGGACCGGTTGGACCAACTGGCCTGTTGGTCCTCTGGACCGGTTGGACCAACTGGCCTGTTGGTCCTCTGGACCGGTTGGACCAACTGGCCTGTTGGTCCTCTGGACCGGTTGGACCAACTGGCCTGTTGGTCCTGTGGACCGGTTGGACCAACTGGCCTGTTGGTCCTGTGGACCGGTTGGACCAACTGGCCTGTTGGTCCTGTGGACCGGTTGGACCAACTGGCCTGTTGGTCCTGTGGACCGGTTGGACCAACTGGCCTGTTGGTCCTGTGGACCGGTTGGACCAACTGGCCTGTTGGTCCTGTGGACCGGTTGGACCAACTGGCCTGTTGGTCCTGTGGACCGGTTGGACCAACTGGCCTGTTGGTCCTGTGGACCGGTTGGACCAACTGGCCTGTTGGTCCTATGGACCGGTTGGACCAACTGGCCTGTTGGTCCTATGGACCGGTTGGACCAACTGGCCTGTTGGTCCTATGGACCGGTTGGACCAACTGGCCTGTTGGTCCTATGGACCGGTTGGACCAACTAGCATGTTGGTCCTATGGACCGGTTGGACCAACTGGCCTGTTGGTCCTATGGACCGGTTGGACCAACTGGCCTGTTGGTCCTATGGACCGGTTGGACCAACTGGCCTATTGGTCCTATGAACCGGTTGGACCAACTGGCCTGTTGGCCGAATGGACCGGTTGGACCAACTGGCCTGTTGGTCCTGTGGACCGGTTGGACCAACTGGCCTGTTGGTCCTGTGGACCGGTTGGACCAACTGGCCTGTTGGTCCTGTGGACCGGTTGGACCAACTGGCCTGTTGGTCCTCTGGACCGGTTGGACCAACTGGCCTGTTGGTCCTCTGGACCGGTTGGACCAACTGGCCTGTTGGTCCTCTGGACCGGTTGGACCAACTGGCCTGTTGGTCCTATAGACCGGTTGGACCAACTGGCCTGTTGGCCGAATGGACCGGTTGGACCAACTGGCCTATTGGTCCTATGAACCGGTTGGACCAACTGGCCTGTTGGCCGAATGGACCGGTTGGACCAACTGGCCTGTTGGTCCTGTGGACCGGTTGGACCAACTGGCCTGTTGGTCCTGTGGACCGGTTGGACCAACTGGCCTGTTGGTCCTGTGGACCGGTTGGACCAACTGGCCTGTTGGTCCTGTGGACCGGTTGGACCAACTGGCCTGTTGGTCCTGTGGACCGGTTGGACCAACTGGCCTGTTGGTCCTGTGGACCGGTTGGACCAACTGGCCTGTTGGTCCTGTGGACCGGTTGGACCAACTGGCCTGTTGGTCCTGTGGACCGGTTGGACCAACTGGCCTGTTGGTCCTGTGGACCGGTTGGACCAACTGGCCTGTTGGTCCTGTGGACCGGTTGGACCAACTGGCCTGTTGGTCCTGTGGACCGGTTGGACCAACTGGCCTGTTGGTCCTGTGGACCGGTTGGACCAACTGGCCTGTTGGTCCTGTGGACCGGTTGGACCAACTGGCCTGTTGGTCCTGTGGACCGGTTGGACCAACTGGCCTGTTGGTCCTGTGGACCGGTTGGACCAACTGGCCTGTTGGTCCTGTGGACCGGTTGGACCAACTGGCCTCTTGGTCCTGTGGACCGGTTGGACCAACTGGCCTGTTGGTCCTGTGGACCGGTTGGACCAACTGGCCTGTTGGTCCTGTGGACCGGTTGGACCAACTGGCCTGTTGGTCCTGTGGACCGGTTGGACCAACTGGCCTGTTGGTCCTGTGGACCGGTTGGACCAACTGGCCTGTTGGTCCTATGGACCGGTTGGACCAACTGGCCTGTTGGTCCTATGGACCGGTTGGACCAACTGGCATGTTGGTCCTATGGACCGGTTGGACCAACTGGCCTGTTGGTCCTATGGACCGGTTGGACCAACTGGCCTGTTGGTCCTATGGACCGGTTGGACCAACTGGCCTGTTGGTCCTATAGACCGGTTGGACCAACTGGCCTGTTGGCCGAATGGACCGGTTGGACCAACTGGCCTTTTGGCCAAATGGACCGGTTGGACCAACTGGCCTGTTTGTTGGTGCAACCCTACGGTTTGCACTCGGCTTGTTGTCCGTGTGCGTGAATGTGTGTGTGTATGGAATGGTATGAGGGCATGGGATAATATATATTTCATGCTTATAATTGTGTGTGAATGTTGAGTCATGATGTCGAGTGTGTGTGTCGAGTCAATAGCGAGTTATCGCTAGACGCGTGTTACGCGGTCGTTTGTGTCTCGCGCGCGGTTTCTATTTTGTCGTGCGCGGTTTCTTTTTTGTCCTGTGTCGAACGTTCGGCGTGTCGCAGGTGTGTGCAGCAGACCCATCAAGAACTCAAGGATGAGTTTGTGATGAAGAGCCCGAGCCTTGGTGTCAAGCCTCAAGTGATTTCGAAGCTTGCCAAAAGGGTACACCTCAAGATATTGAAGATAGTTACATTACTTTGTGTAGTGTAACATTTCACTTGGTGTAGGCCCTAGTGAAGGGTAGTTTCGAGACCCTTCGTGGTTGAAGACAGTGTGGCACTGTTCCACATCACTGTACCTCGGCTCTTGGGGTTTGTAGGAGCTGGGAGTCATTCCCAACTCGTAACTCTTCCTATCTTGTGTTCTAAGACTATAGTGGCTGCCATAGTACCGTTCGTTCAAACCGACGCTGTGTCGTCAATTCTTCATCAAATCGTGCAATCTAAATTGCTAATTGTAGACGACGTGAAGACGATCCAGATCCAATTTGAATCAAGTAATTTGCAGCTGTGAGCAGAACGCTATCAACGTTTGAAGCCGCTGTGCAGAAATCCGTCTGTGCTCTCTATCTTTCGTTTTAGGCACATTCAAGCCTATTGTGACTATAACAAGTGGTATCAGAGCCCCTTGGAGCAGTTTCGACAATGTCTGGACCTGAGGAAAGGGGTGGCAGAGGTGCTGGTGGCAGTGGAGAAGCTCAAGGTCAAGGCCAACCCCGTGATTCAGCCATGGCGCCCATGCAACCAAGTCTTGGCCCACCTAGGGATGAGCCTAGGGTGTTTGGGCTTGACAAGTTCAACGGTGACAACTTTGCTGAATGGTCCTTCAAGATGGAGAACATCTTTGACCACTATGACCTGCTGGAGGTGATGGAAGGAACGGAGAAGCGCCTCGAGAACGACCCGGAGAAGAGCCCGTGGGTGCGGAAGAGCGCACAAGGCTATCTCTTACTTGGGCAAGCGTTGGGGAGCAGTCAGATCCGTCACATCAAGCCATTCCAGCGTGAACCAGAGAAAGGACCAAAGGCATGGGCTGCTCTCAAGGGTGTACATGCTCCTGCAACAGCGGCGGTAGCGGTGGTGTTGGAACGGCAAATGGCGGCACTACGAATTGAAGAAGACGAAGCGGTTGAAGAAGGGGTGCAGAAATTCTTCGACTTGTTGACGCGGCTTGAGGGAGCTGATTTGAACTACAGTGAGCTCCAAAAGAAGACCAAGTTGCTGGCCTTACTCCCAGAGTCATGGTCCTCGCTCATCATCAACCTTAATCGCGACTTGCCCCGCCTCTCGCTTGAAGACGTGAAGCGAGCTATCCTTCAAGAGGATTTCCGCCGCCGTGAGTTGGCGAGTGCGGATGGCGCTGGGGCAGCGAACATCGGCCGTGGATATGGTCGAGGAAGAGGCAGAGGACGAGGGGGAGGAAGGTTTGGTGGCAGCAACTTCGGCGGAGGCCGCAGGAGTGGCGGTTACGGCAGCGACGACAAGAGCTACGGACGCGGTCGCGGCCGATTCGACGGCGAGTGTCACTATTGCCACAAGAGCGGACACATGTGGCGCGACTGCTACAAACTCCCTGATGGTTGGACCCCTGCTCAAGGCCAAGAGGGTAGAGGAGCAGGAGGAGGGAGAGGACGAGGCCGTGGAGGCCGTGGCGGTCGCGGTGGCGGAGCTGCAAACATGAAGAGCGGAGACAACGACAAGGACCCGAGAGACGATCGATACCCGGGTCTATTCTACTTCGTGTCGACGCAAGTACCGGCTGGTCCAGAGAAGGATGAAGGCTTTGAGGAGCCAGCAGCTGTGGGGAAGGTGACCCTACACCCCCTGGACTATTGGGTGATTGATAGTGGCGCTACCTATAGCATGACACCTCGCCCGGACTTGCTCACCGAACTCGAGCCGTCACCGGTGAAGCATGTCACATCGGCTTTGGGGCAGCGAGCAGAGGTGAAAGGCATGGGCAAGGCCATGTTCAAGGGTGCTGATGGGAAGATGGTGGGCCTCAAGAACGTGCTTTGGGTGCCCAGCCTTGCTGCAAACCTGATTTCCGTGCGGCGGTTGGCAAAGGCCGGCATGGACACGAACTCGAAGGGAGCCAAGACCTGCACCGCAAGGCTTGGCGATCGAATTCTTTGGGACCTTCATGAGGACAGGGATGTCTACAACGAGATGTGGCAGATCCCAGTGGTCCCTATGCCTAAGGAGAGGCAAGTGGCAGCAAGCATCAGCACCAAGGATGGAGTGGTCGGTAGCGACGATGGCGCGAACGGTCGCGCTAAGGAGAATGAGCTCAAGAAGAGCAAACCTGGAGGGACCAGCAAGTTCAGTGAACCTAAGGAGAGTGGTGCAGCAACCAAGGAGCAGCAAAAGGGTGAGGAGAACCCAGAGGCAGCAGCGGAGGAGGACTACGGAGAGAGTGTGTGGGGCGCTATTGCGAGCGCGGCATTCTCCAATCCAACTTCGGCTACGGGGGAGTGTGATTGGCTCACCTTGCATCGGCGCATGGGGCATGTGGCCCTGCCCATCTTGCAGCAGCTAGTGAAGAATGAGATGGTTGCTGGCATACGTGTGAAGGGGGAGCCCGATGAGGTGCTTGGCTGCCCGACGTGCATTCAAGCCAAGTTCACCCGGTTTCCGTTCCCTAGTTCGGAGGCAACGGCAAAGGCACCGCTTGATGAGGTGGTGATGGACGTGGTGGGCCCCCTGAAGCTTGGAGCTGCTGGAGCTGAGTATTTTCTCACCATTGTCGACGTCTACACCCGCATGACTTGGGTGTACGTGCTGGCCAAGAAGAGCGACGTGGCTGAAACGTTGAAGACGGATTGGTTCCCGATGGTGGAGCGGCAACAAGACCGTCTAGTCAAGTCAATCCGCACCGATCGAGGGGGAGAGTTCCTGAGCAAGGAGTTTGGGTTGTGGCTGAAGAAGAATGGTATTCGGCACTCCCTCACCATGCCATACTCCCCTGCAATGAACGGCATCGCCGAGCGAGCGAACCGCACAATCACGGAGGCGGCACGCGGGTTGCTCATTGAAGCCGGGCTACCCGACTATTTCTGGCCTGATGCGGTGCGGAGCGCGTGTGTGGCCAAGAACAGAGCCTTGACTCATGTGGGAGCAGACAAATGGGTGCCCTATGTGGAGTGGCTAGGAAGGAAGCCAAAGGTGGATATGCTTCGGGTGTTCGGGTGCATGTGCATGGCGCTCGTGCCTAAGCATCTTCGGCACAACAAGCTTGGTGCCAAGGCGGTGTGGGCCGTGCACTTGGGCATGGCTCAAAACAGCAAGGGATGGCTTCTTTGGGACCCATTCACCAAGAAGTTCTTGGTGAGCAGGGACTGCAAGTTCATGGAGAACTTCATGTACAAGGATTGGAAGGCGGAGAATGAGGCGAAGATAGGCGTGCGGTTTGGGGAGGTGAAGAGTTCCGGTTTGGAGCATGTGGAGCTGCCTTTGGAGCTGAGCAGCGGCAGCACAACCACAAGGCAATCCTCCCTTGTGAATGGGGGAGAGGAGGCCAATGATGCAGAGGAAGAAGAGGAGGAGGTGCAGCAAGTGAGCGAGCGTGCACCGTCACTCCCTTCCCGTACTACGAGTGCTCCACGGATTCGAGCCACACCGCAGCAACGCCAAGGCCTTCAAGTCCCTGCAGCTGAGGAGGAAGGAAGGGGGAAGAGGAGAGTTCAACCCCCTAATAGGCTGACCTATGATGCGCCGGGAAAGCAGGGCAAGACAGCCCTGGCCGGAGCGGCAATGATGGTCGGAGACGACGAGGAGAGTGACTACGAGGAGTGTGCCTTCGCGTTCTTCTCTCCGGTGGAGATGCCGGGAGAACCAGCAACTCTCAAGGAGGCTTTGGAGAGTAGTGATGCTGAGGAGTGGAAGAAGGCCATGGAGAGTGAGCTGAAGAGCATCGAGGAGAATGACACGTTTGAATTGGTGGAGCTACCGGAGGGGCGTACGGCGATAACGTCCAAGTGGCTCTTCAAAATCAAGTCGGATGCCGACGGCAAGATCGAGCGCTACAAGTCTAGGCTTGTAGCCAAGGGGTACCAGAAGAAGGAGAAGGTGGACTTCAAGGAGCTGTTTGCCCCTGTGGTGAAGCCGACGACGCTGCGAACCCTATTCGCGGGAGCCGCCATCAAAGGATGGGTAGTAAAGCAAATGGACATCGTAACGGCATTCCTTAACGGCATCCTTGAGGAGGAGATTTTTATGGCGCAGCCAGAGGGGTTTGATGATGGTAGTGGCAGAGTGTGGAAGCTGAAGAAGGCCCTATATGGGCTGAAGCAGGCCCCTAGGCAATGGTACATGAAGCTGCGCGAAGTGTTGGAGGGGATCGGCTTCACTCCCTCAACGGCCGATCACTCCTTGTTCATGCTTGGCGAGGGGGAGCAGAGGAGTTTCATGGTGGTTTATGTGGATGACATCCTCATTTTCTCACCCTCTTCTGACCTTGTGAAGGAGGTGATGCTGAAGCTTCAAGACAAGTTCAAGTGCAAGGCCCTTGGTGACGTGAGCTTCTACCTTGGGCTCCACATCGAACGAGATGTGGAGAAGCGGTGCATGCGGGTGCATCAACGAAAGTACCTGGAGGCATTGGCTGCCAACTTTGGGCAGAGTGAAGGCCATGTGGCTACACCCTTTCCCTCTGGGTTCAAGTGTGTGAAGGGACCAGAGGAGGAGAGCGTTGGTGAAGAGGAGAGGCGCCGATTTCACTCGTTGGTGGGCAGCCTCATGTATGCGGCGGTAAACACCCGACCGGACGTCGCGTTTGCTACCGGGCAGCTGGCTAGGGTTGTGCAATGCCCTAATGAGGAGCAGGTAGCAGCTGGAATGAGGGTGGCCAAGTATCTTGGCCAAACACCGACCGTTGGGCTGCAATACTCGGCGGCGGCACAAAGGCGCCAAAAGGGCGCGGATGGTGTTGAACCCGGGCGTTTATTCCTCACCGCCTACTCGGATGCTTCATATGCATCAGAACCAGAGGACATGACAAGTGTGGGAGGCTTCATATGCTGTGTTGGTGGAGGCCCAACTGCTTGGGAGAGCAAGAAGCAGGTTGACCAAGCTTTGAGCTCGGTGGAGTCCGAGTAATGGTATGAGGGCATGGGATAATATATATTTCATGCTTATAATTGTGTGTGAATGTTGAGTCATGATGTCGAGTGTGTTTGTCGAGTCAATAGCGAGTTATCGCTAGACGCGTGTTACGCGGTCGTTTGTGTCTCGCGCGCGGTTTCTATTTTGTCGTGCGCGGTTTCTATTTTGTCCTGTGTCGAACGTTCGGCGTGTCGCAGGTGTGTGCAGCAGACCCATCAAGAACTCAAGGATGAGTTTGTGATGAAGAGCCCGAGCCTTGGTGTCAAGCCTCAAGTGATTTCGAAGCTTGCCAAAAGGGTACACCTCAAGATATTGAAGATAGTTACATTACTTTGTGTAGTGTAACATTTCACTTGGTGTAGGCCCTAGTGAAGGGTAGTTTCGAGACCCTTCGTGGTTGGGGACAGTGTGGCACTGTTCCACATCACTGTACATCGGCTCTTGGGGTTTGTAGGAGCTGGGAGTCATTCCCAACTCGTAACTCTTCCTATCTTGTGTTCTAAGACTATAGTGGCTGCCATAGTACCGTTCGTTCAAACCGACGCTGTGTCGTCAATTCTTCATAAAATCGTGCAATCTAAATTGCTAATTGTAGATGACGTGAAGACGATCCAGATCCAATTTGAATCAAGTCATTTGCAGCCGTGAGCAGAACGCTATCAACGTTTGAAGCCGCTGTGCAGAAATCCGTCTGTGCTCTCCATCTTTCGTTTTAGGCACATTCAAGCCTATTGTGACTATAACACTGTTGGTCCTATGGACCGGTTGGACCAACTGGCCTGTTGGTCCTATAGACCGTTTGGACCAACTGGCCTCTTGGTCCTATGAACCGGTTGGACCAACAGGCCTGTTGGCAGAATGGACCGGTTGGACCAACTGGCCTGTTGGCCAAATGGACCGGTTGGACCAACTGGCCTATTAGTCCTGTGGACCGGTTGGACCAACTGGCCTGTTGGTCCTATGGACCGGTTGGACCAACTGGCATGTTGGTCCTATGGACCGGTTGGACCAACTGGCCTGTTGGTCCTATGGACCGATTGGACCAACTGGCATGTTGTTCCAATGGACCTGTTGGACCAACTGGCGTGTTGGTCCTATGGGCCGGTTGGACCAACTTGCCTATTGGTCCTATGGACCGGTTGGACCGACTGGCCTGTTGGTCCTATGGACCGGTTGGAGCAACTGGCCTGTTGGTCCTATGGACCGGTTGGAGCAACTGGCCTGTTGGTCCTATGGACCGGTTGGAGCAACTGGCCTGTTGGTCCTATGGACCGGTTGGAGCAACTGGCCTGTTGGTCCTATGGACCGGTTGGAGCAACTGGCCTGTTGGTCCTATGGACCGGTTGGAGCAACTGGCCTGTTGGTCCTATGGACCGGTTGGAGCAACTGGCCTGTTGGTCCTATGGACCGGTTGGACCAACTGGCCTGTTGGTCCTATGGACCGGTTGGACCAACTGGCCTGTTGGTCCTATGGACCGGTTGGACCAACTGGCCTGTTGGTACTATGGACCGGTTGGACCAACTGGCCTGTTGGTACTATGGACCGGTTGGACCAACTGGCCTGTTGGTCCTATGGACCGGTTGGACCAACTGGCCTGTTGGTCCTATGGACCGGTTGGACCAACTGGCCTCTTGGTCCTATGGACCGGTTGGACCAACTGGCCTGTTGGTCATATGGACCGGTTGAACCAACTGGCCTGTTGGTGCTATGGACCGGTTGGACCAACTAGCATGTTGGTCCTATGGACCGGTTGGACCAACTGACCTTTTGGCCGAATGGACCGGTTGGACCAACTGGCCTGTCGACCGAATGGACCGGTTGGACCAACTGGCCTGTCGGCCGAATGGACCGGTTGGACCAACTGGCATGTCGGCCGAATGGACCAGTTGGACCAACTGGCATGTCGGCCGAATGGACCGGTTGGACCAACTGGCCTGTTGGTCCTATGGACCGGTTGGACCAACTGGCCTGTTGGTCCTATGGACCGGTTGGACCAACTGGCCAGTTGGTCCTATGGACCGATTGGACCAACTGGCCTGTTGGTCCTATGGACCGATTGGACCAACTGGCATGTTGGTGCTATGGACCGGTTGGACCAACTGGCCTGTTGGTCCTATGGACCGAGTGGACCAACTGGCATGTTGGTGCTATGGACCGATTGGACCAACTGGCCTATTGGTCCTATGGACCGGTTGGACCAACTGGCCTGTTGGCCAAATGAACCGGTTGGACCAACTGGCCTGTTGGGACTATGGACCGGTTGGACCAACTGGCCTGTTGGTCCTATGGACCGGTTGGACCAACTGGCATGTTGGTCCTATGGACCGATTGGACCAACTGGCCTGTTGGTCCTATGGACCGGTTGGACCAACTGGCCTGTTGGTCCTATGGACCGGTTGGACCAACTAGCCTGTTGGTCCTATGGACCGGTTGGACCAACTAGCATGTTGGTCCTAAGGACCGGTTGGACCAACTGGCCTGCTGGTCCTATGGACCGATTGGACCAACTGGCATGTTGGTCCTATGGACCGGTTGGACCAACTGGCCTGTTGGTCCTATGGACCGGTTGGACCAACTGGCATGTTGGTACTATGGACCGGTTGGACCAACTCGCCTGTTGGTCCTATGGACCGGTTGGACCAACTGGCATGTTGGTCCTATGGACCGGTTGGACCAACTTGCCTGTTGGTCCTATGGACCGGTTGGACCAACTGGCCTGTTGGTCCTATGGACCGGTTGGACCAACTGGCCTGTTGGTCCTATGGACCGGTTGGACCAACTGGCCTGTTGGTACTATGGACCGGTTGGACCAACTGGCCTGTTGGTCCTATGGACCGGTTGGACCAACTGGCATGTTGGTCCTATGGACCGGTTGGACCAACTGGCCTTTTGGCCGAATGGACCGGTTGGACCAACTGGCATGTTGGTCCTATGGATCGGTTGGACCAACTGGCATGTTGGCCCTATGGACCGGTTGGACCAACTGGCTTGTTGGCCGAATGGACCGGTTGGACCAACTGGCCTGTTGGTCCTATGGATCGGTTGGACCAACTGGCCTGTCGGTCCTATGGACCGGTTGGACCAACTGGCCAGTTGGTCCTGTGGACCGGTTGGACCAACTGGCCTGTTGGTCCTGTGGACCGGTTGGACCAACTGGCCTGTTGGTCCTGTGGACCGGTTGGACCAACTTGCCTGTTGGTCCTGTGGACCGGTTGGACCAACTGGCCTGTTGGTCCTGTGGACCGGTTGGACCAACTGGCCTGTTGGTCCTGTGGAACGGTTGGACCAACTGGCCTGTTGGTCCTGTGGACCGGTTGGACCAACTGGCCTGTTGGTCCTGTGGACCGGTTGGACCAACTGGCCTGTTGGTCCTGTGGACCGGTTGGACCAACTGGCCTGTTGGTCCTGTGGACCGGTTGGACCAACTGGCCTGTTGGTCCTGTGGACCGGTTGGACCAACTGGCCTGTTGGTCCTGTGGACCGGTTGGACCAACTGGCCTGTTGGTCCTGTGGACCGGTTGGACCAACTGGCCTGTTGGTCCTGTGGACCGGTTGGACCAACTGGCCTGTTGGTCCTGTGGACCGGTTGGACCAACTGGCCTGTTGGTCCTGTGGACCGGTTGGACCAATTGACGTGTTGGTTCTATGGACCGGTTGGACCAACTTGCCTGTTGGTCCTATGGACCGGTTGGACCAACTGGCATGTCGGTCCTATGGACCGGTTGGACCAACTGGCCTGTTGGTCCTATGGACCGGCTGGACCAACAGGCCTGTTGGCCGAATGGACCGGCTGGACCAACAGGCCTGTTGGCCGAATGGACCGGTTGGACCAACTGGCCTGTTGGCCGAACGGACCGGTTGGACCAACTGGCCTGTTGGTCCTATGGACCGGTTGGACCAACTGGCATGTTGGTCCTATGGACCGGTTGGACCAACTGGCCTGCTGGTCCTATGGACCGGTTGGACCAACTGGCCTGCTGGTCCTATGGACCGGTTGGACCAACTGGCCTGCTGGTCCTATGGACCGGTTGGACCAACTGGCCTGTTGGTCCTATGGACCGGTTGGACCAACTGGCCTGCTGGTCCTATGGACCGGTTGGACCAACTGGCCTGCTGGTCCTATGGACCGGTTGGACCAACTGGCCTGTTGGTCCTATGGACCGGTTGGACCAACTAGCCTGTTGTTCCTATGGACCGGTTGGACCAACTGACCTTTTGGCCGAATGGACCGGTTGGACCAACTTGCCTGTCGACCGAATGGACCGGTTGGACCAACTGGCCTGTCGGCCGAATGGACCGGTTGGACCAACTGGCCTGTCGGTCCTATGGACCGGTTGGACCAACTGGCCTGTTGGCCGAATGGACCCGTTGGACCAACTGGCCTGTTGGTCCTATGGACCGGTTGGACCAACTGGCCTATTGGTCCTATGGACCGGTTGGACCAACTGGCCTGTGGGTCCTGTGGACCGGTTGGACCAACTGGCCTGTTGGTCCTGTGGACCGGTTGGACCAACTGGCCTGTTGGTCCTATGGACCGGTTGGACCAACTGGCCTGTTGGTACTATGGACCGGTTGGACCAACTGGCCTGTTGGTCCTATGGACCGGTTGGACCAACTGGCATGTTGGTCCTATGGACCGGTTGGACCAACTGGCCTTTTGGCCGAATGGACCGGTTGGACCAACTGGCATGTTGGTCCTATGGATCGGTTGGACCAACTGGCCTGTTGGCCCTATGGACCGGTTGGACCAACTGGCCTATTGGCCGAATGGACCGGTTGGACCAACTGGCCTGTTGGTCCTATGGATCGGTTGGACCAACTGGCATGTTGGCCCTATGGACCGGTTGGACCAACTGGCATGTTGGTCCTATGGATCGGTTGGACCAACTGGCCTGTTGGTCCTATGGACCGGTTGGACCAACTGGCCTGTTGGTCCTATGGACCAGTTGGACCAACTGGCCTGTTGGTCCTGTGGACCGGTTGGACCAACTGGCCTGTTGGTCCTGTGGACCGGTTGGACCAACTGGCCTGTTGGTCCTATGGACCGGTTGGACCAACTGGCCTGTTGGTACTATGGACCGGTTGGACCAACTGGCCTGTTGGTCCTATGGACCGGTTGGACCAACTGGCATGTTGGTCCTATGGACCGGTTGGACCAACTGGCCTTTTGGCCGAATGGACCGGTTGGACCAACTGGCATGTTGGTCCTATGGATCGGTTGGACCAACTGGCCTGTTGGCCCTATGGACCGGTTGGACCAACTGGCCTATTGGCCGAATGGACCGGTTGGACCAACTGGCCTGTTGGTCCTATGGATCGGTTGGACCAACTGGCCTGTTGGTCCTATGGACCGGTTGGACCAACTGGCCAGTTGGTCCTATGGACCGGTTGGACCAACTGGCCTGTTGGTCCTGTGGACCGGTTGGACCAACTGGCCTGTTGGTCCTGTGGACCGGTTGGACCAACTGGCCTGTTGGTCCTGTGGACCGGTTGGACCAACTGGCCTGTTGGTCCTGTGGACCGGTTGGACCAACCGGCCTGTTGGTCCTGTGGACCGGTTGGACCAACCGGCCTGTTGGTCCTGTGGACCGGTTGGACCAACTGGCCTGTTGGTCCTGTGGACCGGTTGGACCAACTGGCCTGTTGGTCCTGTGGACCGGTTGGACCAACTGGCCTGTTGGTCCTGTGGACCGGTTGGACCAACTGGCCTGTTGGTCCTGTGGACCGGTTGGACCAACTGGCCTGTTGGTCCTCTGGACCGGTTGGACCAACTGGCCTGTTGGTCCTGTGGACCGGTTGGACCAACTGGCCTGTTGGTCCTGTGGACCGGTTGGACCAACTGGCCTGTTGGTCCTCTGGACCGGTTGGACCAACTGGCCTGTTGGTCCTGTGGACCGGTTGGACCAACTGGCCTGTTGGTCCTGTGGACCGGTTGGACCAACTGGCCTGTTGGTCGTATGGACCGGTTGGACCAACTGGCCTGTTGGTCCTATGGACCGGTTGGACCAACTGGCCTGTTGGTCCTATGGACCGGTTGGACCAACTGGCCTGTTGGTCCTATGGACCGGTTGGACCAACTGGCCTGTTGGTCCTATGGACCGGTTGGACCAACTGGCCTGTTGGTCCTATGGACCGGTTGGACCAACTGACGTGTTGGTTCTATGGACCGGTTGGACCAACTTGCCTGTTGGTCCTATGGACCGGTTGGACCAACTGGCATGTCGGTCCTATGGACCGGTTGGACCAACTGGCCTGTTGGTCCTATGGACCGGCTGGACCAACAGGCCTGTTGGCCGAATGGACCGGTTGGACCAACAGGCCTGTTGGCCGAATGGACCGGTTGGACCAACTGGCCTGTTGGCCGAACGGACCTGTTGGACCAACTGGCCTGTTGGTCCTATGGACCTGTTGGACCAACTGGCATGTTGGTCCTATGGACCGGTTGGACCAACTGGCCTGCTGGTCCTATAGACCGGTTGGACCAACTGGCCTGCTGGTCCTATGGACCGGTTGGACCAATTGGCCTGCTGGTCCTATGGACCGGTTGGACCAACTGGCCTGTTGGTCCTATGGACCGGTTGGACCAACTAGCCTGTTGTTCCTATGGACCGGTTGGACCAACTGACCTTTTGGCCGAATGGACCGGTTGGACCAACAGGCCTGTCGACCGAATGGACCGGTTGGACCAACTGGCCTGTCGGCCGAATGGACCGGTTGGACCAACTGGCCTGTCGGTCCTATGGACCGGTTGGACCAACTGGCCTGTTGGTCCTATGGACCGGTTGGACCAACTGGCCTGTTGGTCTTGTGGACCGGTTGGACCAACTGGCCTGTTGGTCCTGTGGACCGGTTGGACCAACTGGCCTGTTGGTCCTGTGGACCGGTTGGACCAAATGGCCTGTTGATCCTGTGGACCGGTTGGACCAACTGGCCTGTTGGTCCTGTGGACCGGTTGGACCAACTGGCCTGTTGGTCCTGTGGACCGGTTATACCAACTGGCCTGTTGGTCCTATGGACCGGTTGGACCAACTGGCCTGTTGGTCCTGTGGACCGGTTGGACCAACTGGCCTGTTGGTCCTGTGGACCGGTTGGACCAACTGGCCTGTTGGTCCTGTGGACCGGTTGGACCAACTGGCCTGTTGGTCCTGTGGACCGGTTGGACCAACTGGCCTGTTGATCCTGTGGACCGGTTGGACCAACTGGCCTGTTGGTCCTGTGGACCGGTTGGACCAACTGGCCTGTTGATCCTGTGGACCGGTTAGACCAACTGGCCTGTTGGTGCTATGGACCGGTTGGACCAACTGGCCTGTTGGTCCTATGGACCGGTTGGACCAACTGGCATGTTGGTGCTATGGACCGGTTGGACCAACTGGCCTGCTGGTCCTATGGACCGGTTGGACCAACTGGCCTGCTGGTCCTATGGACCGGTTGGACCAACTGGCCTGTTGGTCCTATGGACCGGTTGGACCAACTGGCATGTTGGTCCTATGGACCGGTTGGACCAACTGGCCTGCTGGTCCTATGGACCGATTGGACCAACTGGCATGTTGGTCCTATGGACCGGTTGGACCAACTGGCCTGTTGGTCCTATGGACCGGTTGGACCAACTCGCCTGTTGGTCCTATGGACCGGTTGGACCAACTGGCCTGTTGGTCCTATGGACCGGTTGGACCAACTCGCCTGTTGGTCCTATGGACCGGTTGGACCAACTGGCCTGCTGGTCCTATGGACCGATTGGACCAACTGGCATGTTGGTCCTATGGACCGGTTGGACCAACTGGCCTGTTGGTCCTATGGACCGGTTGGACCAACTGGCCTGTCGGCCGAATGGACCGGTTGGACCAACTGGCCTGTTGGTCCTATGGACCGGTTGGACCAACTGGCCTGTTGGTCCTATGGACCGGTTGGACCAACTGGCATGTTGGTCCTATGGACCGGTTGGACCAACTGGCCTGCTGGTCCTATGGACCGGGTGGACCAACTGGCCTGTTGGTCCTATGGACCGGTTGGACCAACTGGCCTGTTGGTCCTATGGACCGGTTGGACCAACTAGCATGTTGGTCCTATGGACCGGTTGGACCAACTGACCTTTTGGCCGAATGGACGAGTTGGACCAACTGGCCTGTCGGCCGAATGGACCGGTTGGACCAACTAGCCTGTCGGCCGAATGGACCGGTTGGACCAACTGGCATGTTGGTCCTATGGACCGGTTGGACCAACTGGCCTGTTGGCCGAATGGACCGGTTGGACCAACTGGCCTGTTGGTCCTATGGACCGATTGGACCAACTGGCCTGTTGGTCCTATGGACCGGGTGGACCAACTGGCCTGTTGGTCCTATGGACCGGTTGGACCAACTGGCCTGTTGGTCCTCTGGACCGGTTGGACCAACTGGCTTGTTGGTCCTGTGGACCGGTTGGACCAACTGGCCTGTTGGTCCTGTGGACCGGTTGGACCAACTGGCCTGTTGGTCCTATGGACCGGTTGGACCAACTAGCCTGTTGGTCCTGTGGACCGGTTGGACCAACTGGCCTCTTGGTCCTGTGGACCGGTTGGACCAACTGGCCTGTTGGTCCTGTGGACCGGTTGGACCAACTGGCCTGTTGGTCCTGTGGACCGGTTGGACCAACTGGCCTGTTGGTCCTGTGGACCGGTTGGACCAACTGGCCTGTTGGTCCTGTGGACCGGTTGGACCAACTGGCCTGTTGGTCCTATGGACCGGTTGGACCAACTGGCCTGTTGGTCCTATGGACCGGTTGGACCAACTGGCATGTTGGTCCAACGGCATGTTGGTCCTATGGACCGGTTGGACCAACTGGCCTGTTGGTCCTATGGACCGGTTGGACCAACTGGCCTGTTGGTCCTATAGACCGGTTGGACCAACTGGCCTGTTGGTCCTATAGACCGGTTGGACCAACTGGCCTGTTGGCCGAATGGACCGGTTGGACCAACTGGCCTGTTGGTCCTATGAACCGGTTGGACCAACTGGCCTGTTGGCCGAATGGACCGGTTGGACCAACTGGCCTGTTGGCCAAATGGACCGGTTGGACCAACTGGCCTGTTGGTCCTATGGACCGGTTGGACCAACTGGCCTGTTGGTCCTATGGACCGTTTGGACCAACTGGCCTCTTGGTCCTATGAACCGGTTGGACCAACAGGCCTGTTGGCAGAATGGACCGGTTGGACCAACTGGCCTGTTGGCCAAATGGACCGGTTGGACCAACTGGCCTATTAGTCCTATGGACCAGTTGGACCAACTGGCCTGTTGGTCCTATGGACCGGTTGGACGAACTAGCATGTTGGTCCTATGGACCGGTTGGACCAACTGGCCTGTTGGTCCTATGGACCGATTGGACCAACTGGCATGTTGTTCCAATGGACCTGTTGGACCAACTGGCGTGTTGGTCCTATGGACCGGTTGGACCAACTTGCCTATTGGTCCTATGGACCCGTTGGACCGACTGGCCTGTTGGTCCTATGGACCGGTTGGACCAACTGGCCTGTTGGTCCTATGGACCGGTTGGACCAACTGGCCTGTTGGTCCTATGGACCGGTTGGACCAACTGACGTGTTGGTTCTATGGACCGGTTGGACCAACTTGCCTGTTGGTCCTATGGACCGGTTGGACCAACTGGCATGTCGGTCCTATGGACCGGTTTGACCAACTGGCCTGTTGGTCCTATGGACCGGCTGGACCAACAGGCCTGTTGGCCGAATGGACCGGCTGGACCAACAGGCCTGTTGGCCGAATGGACCGGTTGGACCAACTGGCCTGTTGGCCGAACGGACCGGTTGGACTAACTGGCCTGTTGGTCCTATGGACCGGTTGGACCAACTGGCCTGTTGGTCCTATGGACCGGTTGGACCAACTGGCCTGTTGGTCCTATGGACCGGTTGGACCATCTGGCATGTTGGTCCTATGGACCGGTTGGACCAACTGGCCTGCTGGTCCTATGGACCGGTTGGACCAACAGGCCTGCTGGTCCTATGGACCGGTTGGACCAACTGGCCTGTTGGTCCTATGGACCGGTTGGAGCAACTGGCCTGTTGGTCCTATGGACCGGTTGGACCAACTAGCATGTTGTTCCTATGGACCGGTTGGACCAACTGACCTTTTGGCCGAATGGACCGGTTGGACCAATTGGCCTGCTGGTCCTATGGACCGGTTGGACCAACTGGCCTGTTGGTCCTATGGACCGGTTGGACCAACTAGCCTGTTGTTCCTATGGACCGGTTGGACCAACTGACCTTTTGGCCGAATGGACCGGTTGGACCAACAGGCCTGTCGACCGAATGGACCGGTTGGACCAACTGGCCTGTCGGCCGAATGGACCGGTTGGACCAACTGGCCTGTCGGTCCTATGGACCGGTTGGACCAACTGGCCTGTTGGTCCTATGGACCGGTTGGACCAACTGGCCTGTTGGTCTTGTGGACCGGTTGGACCAACTGGCCTGTTGGTCCTGTGGACCGGTTGGACCAACTGGCCTGTTGGTCCTGTGGACCGGTTGGACCAACTGGCCTGTTGATCCTGTGGACCGGTTGGACCAACTGGCCTGTTGGTCCTGTGGACCGGTTGGACCAACTGGCCTGTTGGTCCTGTGGACCGGTTATACCAACTGGCCTGTTGGTCCTATGGACCGGTTGGACCAACTGGCCTGTTGGTCCTGTGGACCGGTTGGACCAACTGGCCTGTTGGTCCTGTGGACCGGTTGGACCAACTGGCCTGTTGGTCCTGTGGACCGGTTGGACCAACTGGCCTGTTGGTCCTGTGGACCGGTTGGACCAACTGGCCTGTTGATCCTGTGGACCGGTTGGACCAACTGGCCTGTTGGTCCTGTGGACCGGTTGGACCAACTGGCCTGTTGGTCCTGTGGACCGGTTAGACCAACTGGCCTGTTGGTCCTGTGGACCGGTTGGACCAACTGGCCAATTGGTCCTCTGGACCGGTTGGACCAACTGGCCTGTTGGTCCTCTGGACCGGTTGGACCAACTGGCCTGTTGGTCCCATGGACCGGTTGGACCAACTGGCCTGTTGGTCCTATGGACCGGTTGGACCAACTGGCCTGTTGGTCCTATGGACCGGTTGGACCAACTGGCCTGTTGGTCCTATGGACCGATTGGACCAACTGGCCTGTTGGTCCTATGGACCGGTTGGACCAACTGGCCTGTTGGTCTATGGACCGGTTGGACCAACTGGCCTGTTGGTCCTATGGACCGATTGGACCAACAGGCCTGTTGGTCCTATGGACCGATTGGACCAACTGGCCTGTTGGCCGAATGGACCGGTTGGACCAACTGGCCTGTTGGTCCTATGGACCGGTGGACCAACTGGCCTGTTGGTCCTATGGACCGGTTTGACCAACTGGCATGTTGGTCCTATGGACCGAATGAACCAACTGGCCTTTTGGTCCTATGGACCGGTTGGACCAACTGGCCTGTTGGTCCTATGGACCGGTTGGACCAACTGGCCTGCTGGTCCTATGGACCGGTTGGACCAACTGGCCTGTTGGTCCTATGGATCGGTTGGACCAACTTGCATAATGTTCCAATGGACCTGTTGGACCAACTGACGTGTTGGTCCTATGGACCGGTTGGACCAACTGGCCTGTTGGTCCTATGGACCGGTTGGACCAACTGGCCTGTTGGTCCTATGGACCGGTTGGACCAACTGGCCTGTTGGTCCTATGGACCGGTTGGACCAACTGGCCTGTTGGTCCTATGGACCGGTTGGACCAACTGGCATGTTGGTCCTATGGACCGGTTGGACCAACTGACCTTATGGCCGAATGGACCGGTTGGACCAACTGGCCTGTCGACCGAATGGACCGGTTGGACCAACTGGCCTGTCGGCCGAATGGACCGGTTGGACCAACTGGCCTGTTGGTCCTATGGACCGGTTGGACCAACTGGCCTGTTGGTCCTATGGACCGGTTGGACCAACTGGCATGTTGGTCCTATGGACCGGTTGGACCAACTGGCCTGCTGGTCCTATGGACCGGGTGGACCAACTGGCCTGTTGGTCCTATGGACCGGTTGGACCAACTGGCCTGTTGGTCCTATGGACCGGTTGGACCAACTAGCATGTTGGTCCTATGGACCGGTTGGACCAACTGACCTTTTGGCCGAATGGACGAGTTGGACCAACTGGCCTGTCGGCCGAATGGACCGGTTGGACCAACTAGCCTGTCGGCCGAATGGACCGGTTGGACCAACTGGCCTGTTGGTCCTGTGGACCGGTTGGACCAACTGGCCTCTTGGTCCTGTGGACCGGTTGGACCAACTGGCCTGTTGGTCCTGTGGACCGGTTGGACCAACTGGCCTGTTGGTCCTGTGGACCGGTTGGACCAACTGGCCTGTTGGTCCTGTGGACCGGTTGGACCAACTGGCCTGTTGGTCCTGTGGACCGGTTGGACCAACTGGCCTGTTGGTCCTATGGACCGGTTGGACCAACTGGCCTGTTGGTCCTATGGACCGGTTGGACCAACTGGCATGTTGGTCCAACGGCATGTTGGTCCTATGGACCGGTTGGACCAACTGGCCTGTTGGTCCTATGGACCGGTTGGACCAACTGGCCTGTTGGTCCTATAGACCGGTTGGACCAACTGGCCTGTTGGTCCTATAGACCGGTTGGACCAACTGGCCTGTTGGCCGAATGGACCGGTTGGACCAACTGGCCTGTTGGTCCTATGAACCGGTTGGACCAACTGGCCTGTTGGCCGAATGGACCGGTTGGACCAACTGGCCTGTTGGCCAAATGGACCGGTTGGACCAACTGGCCTGTTGGTCCTATGGACCGGTTGGACCAACTGGCCTGTTGGTCCTATGGACCGTTTGGACCAACTGGCCTCTTGGTCCTATGAACCGGTTGGACCAACAGGCCTGTTGGCAGAATGGACCGGTTGGACCAACTGGCCTGTTGGCCAAATGGACCGGTTGGACCAACTGGCCTATTAGTCCTATGGACCAGTTGGACCAACTGGCCTGTTGGTCCTATGGACCGGTTGGACGAACTAGCATGTTGGTCCTATGGACCGGTTGGACCAACTGGCCTGTTGGTCCTATGGACCGATTGGACCAACTGGCATGTTGTTCCAATGGACCTGTTGGACCAACTGGCGTGTTGGTCCTATGGACCGGTTGGACCAACTTGCCTATTGGTCCTATGGACCCGTTGGACCGACTGGCCTGTTGGTCCTATGGACCGGTTGGACCAACTGGCCTGTTGGTCCTATGGACCGGTTGGACCAACTGGCCTGTTGGTCCTATGGACCGGTTGGACCAACTGACGTGTTGGTTCTATGGACCGGTTGGACCAACTTGCCTGTTGGTCCTATGGACCGGTTGGACCAACTGGCATGTCGGTCCTATGGACCGGTTTGACCAACTGGCCTGTTGGTCCTATGGACCGGCTGGACCAACAGGCCTGTTGGCCGAATGGACCGGCTGGACCAACAGGCCTGTTGGCCGAATGGACCGGTTGGACCAACTGGCCTGTTGGCCGAACGGACCGGTTGGACTAACTCGCCTGTTGGTCCTATGGACCGGTTGGACCAACTGGCCTGTTGGTCCTATGGACCGGTTGGACCAACTGGCCTGTTGGTCCTATGGACCGGTTGGACCATCTGGCATGTTGGTCCTATGGACCGGTTGGACCAACTGGCCTGCTGGTCCTATGGACCGGTTGGACCAACTGGCCTGCTGGTCCTATGGACCGGTTGGACCAACTGGCCTGTTGGTCCTATGGACCGGTTGGAGCAACTGGCCTGTTGGTCCTATGGACCGGTTGGACCAACTAGCATGTTGTTCCTATGGACCGGTTGGACCAACTGACCTTTTGGCCGAATGGACCGGTTGGACCAACTGGCCTGTCGACCGAATGGACCGGTTGGACCAACTGGCCTGTCGGCCGAATGGACCGGTTGGACCAACTGGCATGTTGGTCCTATGGACCGGTTGGACCAACTGGCCTGTTGGCCGAATGGACCCGTTGGACAAACTGGCCTGTTGGTCCTATGGACCGGTTGGACCAACTGGCCTGTTGGTCCTATGGACCGGTTGGACCAACTGGCCTGTTGGTCCTGTGGACCGGTTGGACCAACTGGCCTGTTGGTCCTGTGGACCGGTTGGACCAACTGGCCTGTTGGTCCTATGGACCGGTTGGACCAACTAGCCTGTTGATCCTGTGGACCGGTTGGACCAACTGGCCTGTTGGTCCTGTGGACCGGTTGGACCAACTGGCCTGTTGGTCCTATGGACCGGTTGGACCAACTGGCCTGTTGGTCCTATGGACCGATTGGACCAACTGGCCTGTTGGTCCTATGGACCGGTTGGACCAACTGGCCTGTTGGTCCTATGGACCGGTTGGATCAACTGGCCTGTTGGTCCTATGGACCGGTTGGACCAACTGACGTGTTGGTTCTATGGACCGGTTGGACCAACTTGCCTGTTGGTCCTATGGACCGGTTGGACCAACTGGCATGTCGGTCCTATGGACCGGTTTGACCAACTGGCCTGTTGGTCCTATGGACCGGCTGGACCAACAGGCCTGTTGGCCGAATGGACCGGCTGGACCAACAGGCCTGTTGGCCGAATGGACCGGTTGGACCAACTGGCCTGTTGGCCGAACGGACCGGTTGGACTAACTGGCCTGTTGGTCCTATGGACCGGTTGGACCAACTGGCCTGTTGGTCCTATGGACCGGTTGGACCAACTGGCCTGTTGGTCCTATGGACCGGTTGGACCATCTGGCATGTTGGTCCTATGGACCGGTTGGACCAACTGGCCTGCTGGTCCTATGGACCGGTTGGACCAACTGGCCTGCTGGTCCTATGGACCGGTTGGACCAACTGGCCTGTTGGTCCTATGGACCGGTTGGAGCAACTGGCCTGTTGGTCCTATGGACCGGTTGGACCAACTAGCATGTTGTTCCTATGGACCGGTTGGACCAACTGACCTTTTGGCCGAATGGACCGGTTGGACCAACTGGCTTGTCGACCGAATGGACCGGTTGGACCAACTGGCCTGTCGGCCGAATGGACCGGTTGGACCAACTGGCATGTTGGTCCTATGGACCGGTTGGACCAACTGGCCTGTTGGCCGAATGGACCCGTTGGACAAACTGGCCTGTTGGTCCTATGGACCGGTTGGACCAACTGGCCTGTTGGTCCTATGGACCGGTTGGACCAACTGGCCTGTTGGTCCTGTGGACCGGTTGGACCAACTGGCCTGTTGGTCCTGTGGACCGGTTGGACCAACTGGCCTGTTGGTCCTATGGACCGGTTGGACCAACTAGCCTGTTGATCCTGTGGACCGGTTGGACCAACTGGCCTGTTGGTCCTGTGGACCGGTTGGACCAACTGGCCTGTTGGTCCTATGGACCGGTTGGACCAACTGGCCTGTTGGCCGAATGGACCCGTTGGACAAACTGGCCTGTTGGTCCTATGGACCGGTTGGACCAACTGGCCTGTTGGTCCTATGGACCGGTTGGACCAACTGGCCTGTTGGTCCTGTGGACCGGTTGGACCAATTGGCCTGTTGGTCCTGTGGACCGGTTGGACCAACTGGCCTGTTGGTCCTATGGACCGGTTGGACCAACTAGCCTGTTGATCCTGTGGACCGGTTGGACCAACTGGCCTGTTGGTCCTGTGGACCGGTTGGACCAACTGGCCTGTTGGTCCTATGGACCGGTTGGACCAACTGGCCTGTTGGTCCTATGGACCGATTGGACCAACTGGCCTGTTGGTCCTATGGACCGGTTGGACCAACTGGCCTGTTGGTCCTATGGACCGGTTGGATCAACTGGCCTGTTGGTCCTATGGACCGGTTGGACCAACTGACGTGTTGGTTCTATGGACCGGTTGGACCAACTTGCCTGTTGGTCCTATGGACCGGTTGGACCAACTGGCATGTCGGTCCTATGGACCGGTTTGACCAACTGGCCTGTTGGTCCTATGGACCGGCTGGACCAACAGGCCTGTTGGCCGAATGGACCGGCTGGACCAACAGGCCTGTTGGCCGAATGGACCGGTTGGACCAACTGGCCTGTTGGCCGAACGGACCGGTTGGACTAACTGGCCTGTTGGTCCTATGGACCGGTTGGACCAACTGGCCTGTTGGTCCTATGGACCGGTTGGACCAACTGGCCTGTTGGTCCTATGGACCGGTTGGACCATCTGGCATGTTGGTCCTATGGACCGGTTGGACCAACTGGCCTGCTGGTCCTATGGACCGGTTGGACCAACTGGCCTGCTGGTCCTATGGACCGGTTGGACCAACTGGCCTGTTGGTCCTATGGACCGGTTGGAGCAACTGGCCTGTTGGTCCTATGGACCGGTTGGACCAACTAGCATGTTGTTCCTATGGACCGGTTGGACCAACTGACCTTTTGGCCGAATGGACCGGTTGGACCAACTGGCCTGTCGACCGAATGGACCGGTTGGACCAACTGGCCTGTCGGCCGAATGGACCGGTTGGACCAACTGGCATGTTGGTCCTATGGACCGGTTGGACCAACTGGCCTGTTGGCCGAATGGACCCGTTGGACAAACTGGCCTGTTGGTCCTATGGACCGGTTGGACCAACTGGCCTGTTGGTCCTATGGACCGGTTGGACCAACTGGCCTGTTGGTCCTGTGGACCGGTTGGACCAACTGGCCTGTTGGTCCTGTGGACCGGTTGGACCAACTGGCCTGTTGGTCCTATGGACCGGTTGGACCAACTAGCCTGTTGATCCTGTGGACCGGTTGGACCAACTGGCCTGTTGGTCCTGTGGACCGGTTGGACCAACTGGCCTGTTGGTCCTATGGACCGGTTGGACCAACTAGCCTGTTGATCCTGTGGACCGGTTGGACCAACTGGCCTGTTGGTCCTGTGGACCGGTTGGACCAACTGGCCTGTTGGTCCTATGGACCGGTTGGACCAACTGGCCTGTTGGTCCTATGGACCGATTGGACCAACTGGCCTGTTGGTCCTATGGACCGGTTGGACCAACTGACCTTTTGGCCGAATGGACCGGTTGGACCAACTGGCCTGTCGACCGAATGGACCGGTTGGACCAACTGGCCTGTCGGCCGAATGGACCGGTTGGACCAACTGGCATGTTGGTCCTATGGACCGGTTGGACCAACTGGCCTGTTGGCCGAATGGACCCGTTGGACAAACTGGCCTGTTGGTCCTATGGACCGGTTGGACCAACTGGCCTGTTGGTCCTATGGACCGGTTGGACCAACTGGCCTGTTGGTCCTGTGGACCGGTTGGACCAACTGGCCTGTTGGTCCTGTGGACCGGTTGGACCAACTGGCCTGTTGGTCCTATGGACCGGTTGGACCAACTAGCCTGTTGATCCTGTGGACCGGTTGGACCAACTGGCCTGTTGGTCCTGTGGACCGGTTGGACCAACTGGCCTGTTGGTCCTATGGACCGGTTGGATCAACTGGCCTGTTGGTCCTATGGACCGATTGGACCAACAGGCCTGTTGGTCCTATGGACCGATTGAACCAACTGGCCTGTTGGCCGAATGGACCGGTTGGACCAACTGGCCTGTTGGTCCTATGGACCGGTGGACCAACTGGCCTGTTGGTCCTATGGACCGGTTGGACCAACTGGCATGTTGGTCCTATGGACCGATTGAACCAACTGGCCTTTTGGTCCTATGGACCGGTTGGACCAACTGGCCTGTTGGTCCTATGGACCGGTTGGACCAACTTGCATAATGTTCCAATGGACCTGTTGGACCAACTGACGTGTTGGTCCTATGGACCGGTTGGACCAACTGGCCTGTTGGTCCTATGGACCGGTTGGACCAACTGGCCTGTTGGTCCTATGGACCGGTTGGACCAACTGGCCTGTTGGTCCTATGGACCGGTTGGACCAACTGGCCTGTTGGTCCTATGGACCGGTTGGACCAACTAGCATGTTGGTCCTATGGACCGGTTGGACCAACTGACCTTTTGGCCGAATGGACCGGTTGGACCAACTGGCCTGTCGACCGAATGGACCGGTTGGACCAACTGGCCTGTCGGCCGAATGGACCGGTTGGACCAACTGGCCTGTTGGTCCTATGGACCGGTTGGACCAACTGGCCTGTTGGTCCTATGGACCGGTTGGACCAACTGGCATGTTGGTCCTATGGACCGATTGAACCAACTGGCCTTTTGGTCCTATGGACCGGTTGGACCAACTGGCCTGTTGGTCCTATGGACCGGTTGGACCAACTGGCCTGCTGGTCCTATGGACCGGGTGGACCACCTGGCCTGTTGGTCCTATGGACCGGTTGGACCAACTGGCTTGTTGGTCCTATGGACCGGTTGGACCAACTGACCTTTTGGCCGAATGGACCGGTTGGACCAACTGGCCTGTCGACCGAATGTTCCGGTTGGACCAACTAGCCTGTCGGCCGAATGGACCGGTTAGACCAACTGTCATGTTGGTCCTATGGACCGGTTGGACCAACTGGCCTGTTGGCCGAATGGACCGGTTGGACCAACTGGCCTGTTGGTCCTATGGACCGGTTGGACCAACTGGCCTGTTGGTCCTATAGACCGGGTGGACCAACTGGCCTGTTGGTCCTATGGACCGGTTGGACCAACTGGCCTGTTGGTCCTCTGGACCGGTTGGACCAACTGGCCTGTTGGTCCTGTGGACCGGTTGGACCAACTGGCCTGTTGGTCCTGTGGACCGGTTGGACCAACTGGCCTGTTGGTCCTGTGGACCGGTTGGACCAACTGGCCTGTTGGTCCTGTGGACCGGTTGGACCAACTGGCCAGTTGGTCCTATGGACCGGTTGGACCAACTGGCCTGTTGGTCCTATGGACCGGTTGGACCAACTGGCCTGTTGGTCCTATGGACCGTTTGGACCAACTGGCCTCTTGGTCGTATGAACCGGTTGGACCAACAGGCCTGTTGGCAGAATGGACCGGTTGGACCAACTGGCCTGTTGGCCAAATGGACCGGTTGGACCAACTGGCCTATTAGTCCTATGGACCAGTTGGACCAACTGGCCTGTTGGTCCTATGGACCGGTTGGACCAACTGGCATGTTGGTCCTATGGACCGGTTGGACCAACTGGCCTGTTGGTCCTATGGACCGATTGGACCAACTAGCATGTTGTTCCAAAGGACCTGTTGGACCAACTGTCATGTTGGTCCTAAGGACCGGTTGGACCAACTTGCCTATTGGTCCTATGGACCGGTTGGACCGACTGGCCTGTTGGTCCTATGGACCGGTTGGACCAACTGGCCTGTTGGTCCTATGGACCGGTTGGAGCAACTGGCCTGTTGGTCCTATGGACCGGTTGGAGCAACTGGCCTGTTGGTCCTATGGACCGGTTGGAGCAACTGGCCTGTTGGTCCTATGGACCGGTTGGAGCAACTGGCCTGTTGGTCCTATGGACCGGTTAGACCAACTGGCCTGTTGGTCCTATGGACCGGTTGGACCAACTGCCATGTTGGTCCTATGGACCGGTTGGAGCAACTGGCCTGTTGTTCCAATGGACCTGTTGGACCAACTGACGTGTTGTTCCTATAGATCGGTTGGACCAACTGGCCTGTTGGTCCTATGGACCGTTTGGACCAACTGGCCTCTTGGTCCTATGGACCGGTTGGACCAACTGGCCTGATGGCAGAATGGACCGGTTGGACCAACTGGCCTGTTGGCCAAATGGACCGGTTGGACCAACTGGCCTATTGGTCCTATGGAGCGGTTGGACCAACTAGCCTGTTGGTCCTATGGACCGGTTGGACCAACTGGCATGTTGGTCCTATGGACCGGTTGGACCAACTAGCCTGTTGGTCCTATGGACCGGTTGGACCAACTGGCATGTTGGTCCTATGGACCGGTTGGACCAACTGGCCTGTTGGTCCTATGGACCGGTTGGACCAACTGGCATGTTGTTCCAATGGACCTGTTGGACCAACTGGCGTGTTGGTCCTATGGACCGGTTGGACCAACTGGCCTGTTGGTCCTATGGACCGGTTGGACCAACTGGCCTGTTGGTCCTATGGACCGGTTGGAGCAACTGGCCTGTTGGTCCTATGGACCGGTTGGAGCAACTGGCCTGTTGGTCCTATGGACCGGTTGGAGCAACTGGCCTGTTGGTCCTATGGACCGGTTGGACCAACTGGCCTGTTGGTCCTATGGACCGGTTGGAGCAACTGGCCTGTTGGTCCTATGGACCGGTTGGAGCAACTGGCCAGTTGGTCCTATGGACCGGTTGGAGCAACTGGCCTGTTGGTCCTATGGACCGGTTGGACCAACTGGCCTGTTGGTCCTATGGACCGTTTGGACCAACTGGCCTCTTGGTCCTATGAACCGGTTGGACCAACAGGCCTGTTGGCAGAATGGACCGGTTGGACCAACTGGCCTGTTGGCCAAATGGAACGGTTGGACCAACTGGCCTACTAGTCCTATGGACCGGTTGGACCAACTGGCCTGTTGGTCCTATGGACCGGTTGGACCAACTGGCATGTTGGTCCTATGGACCGGTTGGACCAACTGGCCTGTTGGTCCTATGGACCGGTTGGACCAACTGGCATATTGTTCCAAAGGACCTGTTGGACCAACTGTCGTGTTGGTCCTATGGACCGGTTGGACCAACTTGCCTATTGGTCCTATGGACCGGTTGGACCGACTGGCCTGTTGGTCCTATGGACCGGTTGGACCAACTGGCCTGTTGGTCCTATGGACTGGTTGGACCAACTGGCCTGTTGGTCCTATGGACCGGTTGGAGCAACTGGCCTGTTGGTCCTATGGACCGGTTGGAGCAACTGGCCAATTGGTCCTATGGACCGGTTGGAGCAACTGGCCTGTTGGTCCTATGGACCGGTTGGACCAACTGGCCTCTTGGTCCTATGAACCGGTTGGACCAACAGGCCTGTTGGCAGAATGGACCGGTTGGACCAACTGGCCTGTTGGCCAAATGGACCGGTTGGACCAACTGGCCTACTAGTCCTATGGACCGGTTGGACCAACTGGCCTGTTGGTCCTATGGACCGGTTGGACCAACTGGCATGTTGGTCCTGTGGACCGGTTGGACCAACTGGCCTGTTGGTCCTATGGACCGGTTGGACCAACTGGCATGTTGTTCCAAAGGACCTGTTGGACCAACTGTCGTGTTGGTCCTATGGACCGGTTGGACCAACTTGCCTATTGGTCCTATGGACCGGTTGGACCGACTGGCCTGTTGGTCCTATGGACCGGTTGGAGCAACTGGCCTGTTGGTCCTATGGACCGGTTGGAGCAACTGGCCTGTTGGTCCTATGGACCGGTTGGAGCAACTGGCCTGTTGGTCCTATGGACCGGTTGGAGCAACTGGCCTGTTGGTCCTATGGACCGGTTGGAGCAACTGGCCTGTTGGTCCTATGGACCGGTTGGACCAACTGGCCTGTTGGTCCTATGGACCGGTTGGAGCAACTGGCATGTTGGTCCTATGGACCGGTTGGAGCAACTGGCCTGTTGTTCCAATGGACCTGTTGGACCAACTGACGTGTTGTTCCTATAGATCGGTTGGACCAACTGGCCTGCTGGTCCTATGGACCGTTTGGACCAACTGGCCTCTTGGTCCTATGGACCGGTTGGACCAACTGGCCTGTTGGCAGAATGGACCGGTTGGACCAACTGGCCTGTTGGCCAAATGGACCGGTTGGACCAACTGGCCTATTGGTCCTATGGACCGGTTGGACCAACTGGCCTGTTGGTCCTATGGACCGGTTGGACCAACTGGCATGTTGGTCCTATGGACCGGTTGGGCCAACTGGCCTGTTGGTCCTATGGACCGGTTGGACCAACTGGCATGTTGTTCCAATGGACCTGTTGGACCGACTGGCCTGTTGGTCCTATGGACCGGTTGGACCAACTGGCCTGTTGGTCCTATGGACCGGTTGGACCAACTGGCCTATTGGTCCTATGGACCGGTTAGACCAACTGGCCTGTTGGTCCTATGGACCGGTTGGACCAACTGGCCTGTTGGTCCTATGGACCGGTTGGACCAACTGGCATGTTGGTCCTATGGACTGGTTGGACCAACTGGCCTGTTGGTCCTATGGACCGGTTGGACCAACTGGCATGTTGTTCCAATGGACCTGTTGGACCAACTCGCGTGTTGGTCCTATGGACCGGTTGGACCAACTGGCCTGTTGGTCCTATGGACCGGTTGGACCAACTGGCCTGTTGGTCCCATGGACCGGTTGGAGCAACTGGCCTGTTGGTCCTATGGACCGGTTGGAGCAACTGGCCTGTTGGTCCCATGGACCGGTTGGAGCAACTGGCCTGTTGGTCCTATGGACCGGTTGGAGCAACTGGCCTGTTGGTCCTATGGACCGGTTGGAGCAACTGGCCTGTTGGTCCTATGGACCGGTTGGAGCAACTGGCCAGTTGGTCCTATGGACCGGTTCGAGCAACTGGCCTGTTGGTCCTATGGACCGTTTGGACCAACTGGCCTCTTGGTCCTATGAATCGGTTGGACCAACAGGCCTGTTGGCAGAATGGACCGGTTGGACCAACTGGCCTGTTGGCCAAATGGACCGGTTGGACCAACTGGCCTATTAGTCCTATGGACTGGTTGGACCAACTGGCCTGTTGGTCCTATGGACCGGTTGGACCAACTGGCCTGTTGGTCCTATGGACCGGTTGGACCAACTGGCATGTTGTTCCAATGGACCTGTTGGACCAACTGGCGTGTTGGTCCTATGGACCGGTTGGACCAACTGGCCTGTTGGTCCTATGGACCGGTTGGACCAACTCGCCTGTTGGTCCTATGGACCGGTTGGACCAACTGGCATGTTGGTCCTATGGACCGGTTGGACCAACTGACCTTTTGGCCGAATGGACCGGTTGGACCAACTGGCCTGTCGACCGAATGGACCGGTTGGACCAACTGGCCTGTCGGCCGAATGGACCGGTTGGACCAACTGGCCTGTTGGTCCTATGGACCGGTTGGACCAACTGGCCTGTTGGTCCTATGGACCGGTTGGACCAACTGGCCTGTTGGTCCTATGGACCGGTTGGACCAACTGGCCTGTTGGTCCTATGGACCGGTTGGACCAACTGGCATGTTGGTCCTATGGACCGGTTGGACCAACTGACCTTTTGGCCGAATGGACCGGTTGGACCAACTGACCTTTTGGCCGAATGGACCGGTTGGACCAACTGGCCTGTCGACCGAATGGACCGGTTGGACCAACTGGCCTGTCGGCCGAATGGACCGGTTGGACCAACTGGCCTATTGGTCCTATGGACCGGTTGGAGCAACTGGCCTGTTGGTCCTATGGACCGGTTGGACCAACTGGCCTCTTGGTCCTATGAACCGGTTGGACCAACAGGCCTGTTGGCAGAATGGACCGGTTGGACCAACTGGCCTGTTGGCCAAATGGACCGGTTGGACCAACTGGCCTACTAGTCCTATGGACCGGTTGGACCAACTGGCCTGTTGGTCCTATGGACCGGTTGGACCAACTGGCATGTTGGTCCTGTGGACCGGTTGGACCAACTGGCCTGTTGGTCCTATGGACCGGTTGGACCAACTGGCATGTTGTTCCAAAGGACCTGTTGGACCAACTGTCGTGTTGGTCCTATGGACCGGTTGGACCAACTTGCCTATTGGTCCTATGGACCGGTTGGACCGACTGGCCTGTTGGTCCTATGGACCGGTTGGAGCAACTGGCCTGTTGGTCCTATGGACCGGTTGGACCAACTGGCCTGTTGGTCCTATGGACCGGTTGGACCAACTGGCCTGTTGGTCCTATGGACCGGTTGGACCAACTGGCCTGTTGGTCCTATGGACCGGTTGGACCAACTGGCATGTTGGTCCTATGGACCGGTTGGACCAACTGACCTTTTGGCCGAATGGACCGGTTGGACCAACTGACCTTTTGGCCGAATGGACCGGTTGGACCAACTGGCCTGTCGACCGAATGGACCGGTTGGACCAACTGGCCTGTCGGCCGAATGGACCGGTTGGACCAACTGGCCTATTGGTCCTATGGACCGGTTGGAGCAACTGGCCTGTTGGTCCTATGGACCGGTTGGACCAACTGGCCTCTTGGTCCTATGAACCGGTTGGACCAACAGGCCTGTTGGCAGAATGGACCGGTTGGACCAACTGGCCTGTTGGCCAAATGGACCGGTTGGACCAACTGGCCTACTAGTCCTATGGACCGGTTGGACCAACTGGCCTGTTGGTCCTATGGACCGGTTGGACCAACTGGCATGTTGGTCCTGTGGACCGGTTGGACCAACTGGCCTGTTGGTCCTATGGACCGGTTGGACCAACTGGCATGTTGTTCCAAAGGACCTGTTGGACCAACTGTCGTGTTGGTCCTATGGACCGGTTGGACCAACTTGCCTATTGGTCCTATGGACCGGTTGGACCGACTGGCCTGTTGGTCCTATGGACCGGTTGGAGCAACTGGCCTGTTGGTCCTATGGACCGGTTGGAGCAACTGGCCTGTTGGTCCTATGGACCGGTTGGAGCAACTGGCCTGTTGGTCCTATGGACCGGTTGGAGCAACTGGCCTGTTGGTCCTATGGACCGGTTGGAGCAACTGGCCTGTTGGTCCTATGGACCGGTTGGACCAACTGGCCTGTTGGTCCTATGGACCGGTTGGAGCAACTGGCATGTTGGTCCTATGGACCGGTTGGAGCAACTGGCCTGTTGTTCCAATGGACCTGTTGGACCAACTGACGTGTTGTTCCTATAGATCGGTTGGACCAACTGGCCTGCTGGTCCTATGGACCGTTTGGACCAACTGGCCTCTTGGTCCTATGGACCGGTTGGACCAACTGGCCTGTTGGCAGAATGGACCGGTTGGACCAACTGGCCTGTTGGCCAAATGGACCGGTTGGACCAACTGGCCTATTGGTCCTATGGACCGGTTGGACCAACTGGCCTGTTGGTCCTATGGACCGGTTGGACCAACTGGCATGTTGGTCCTATGGACCGGTTGGGCCAACTGGCCTGTTGGTCCTATGGACCGGTTGGACCAACTGGCATGTTGTTCCAATGGACCTGTTGGACCGACTGGCCTGTTGGTCCTATGGACCGGTTGGACCAACTGGCCTGTTGGTCCTATGGACCGGTTGGACCAACTGGCCTATTGGTCCTATGGACCGGTTAGACCAACTGGCCTGTTGGTCCTATGGACCGGTTGGACCAACTGGCCTGTTGGTCCTATGGACCGGTTGGACCAACTGGCATGTTGGTCCTATGGACTGGTTGGACCAACTGGCCTGTTGGTCCTATGGACCGGTTGGACCAACTGGCATGTTGTTCCAATGGACCTGTTGGACCAACTCGCGTGTTGGTCCTATGGACCGGTTGGACCAACTGGCCTGTTGGTCCTATGGACCGGTTGGACCAACTGGCCTGTTGGTCCCATGGACCGGTTGGAGCAACTGGCCTGTTGGTCCTATGGACCGGTTGGAGCAACTGGCCTGTTGGTCCCATGGACCGGTTGGAGCAACTGGCCTGTTGGTCCTATGGACCGGTTGGACCAACTGGCCTGTTGGTCCTATGGACCGGTTGGACCAACTGGCATGTTGGTCCTATGGACCGGTTGGGCCAACTGGCCTGTTGGTCCTATGGACCGGTTGGACCAACTGGCATGTTGTTCCAATGGACCTGTTGGACCGACTGGCCTGTTGGTCCTATGGACCGGTTGGACCAACTGGCCTGTTGGTCCTATGGACCGGTTGGACCAACTGGCCTATTGGTCCTATGGACCGGTTAGACCAACTGGCCTGTTGGTCCTATGGACCGGTTGGACCAACTGGCCTGTTGGTCCTATGGACCGGTTGGACCAACTGGCATGTTGGTCCTATGGACTGGTTGGACCAACTGGCCTGTTGGTCCTATGGACCGGTTGGACCAACTGGCATGTTGTTCCAATGGACCTGTTGGACCAACTCGCGTGTTGGTCCTATGGACCGGTTGGACCAACTGGCCTGTTGGTCCTATGGACCGGTTGGACCAACTGGCCTGTTGGTCCCATGGACCGGTTGGAGCAACTGGCCTGTTGGTCCTATGGACCGGTTGGAGCAACTGGCCTGTTGGTCCCATGGACCGGTTGGAGCAACTGGCCTGTTGGTCCTATGGACCGGTTGGAGCAACTGGCCTGTTGGTCCTATGGACCGGTTGGAGCAACTGGCCTGTTGGTCCTATGGACCGGTTGGAGCAACTGGCCAGTTGGTCCTATGGACCGGTTCGAGCAACTGGCCTGTTGGTCCTATGGACCGTTTGGACCAACTGGCCTCTTGGTCCTATGAATCGGTTGGACCAACAGGCCTGTTGGCAGAATGGACCGGTTGGACCAACTGGCCTGTTGGCCAAATGGACCGGTTGGACCAACTGGCCTATTAGTCCTATGGACTGGTTGGACCAACTGGCCTGTTGGTCCTATGGACCGGTTGGACCAACTGGCCTGTTGGTCCTATGGACCGGTTGGACCAACTGGCATGTTGTTCCAATGGACCTGTTGGACCAACTGGCGTGTTGGTCCTATGGACCGGTTGGACCAACTGGCCTGTTGGTCCTATGGACCGGTTGGACCAACTCGCCTGTTGGTCCTATGGACCGGTTGGACCAACTGGCATGTTGGTCCTATGGACCGGTTGGACCAACTGACCTTTTGGCCGAATGGACCGGTTGGACCAACTGGCCTGTCGACCGAATGGACCGGTTGGACCAACTGGCCTGTCGGCCGAATGGACCGGTTGGACCAACTGGCCTGTTGGTCCTATGGACCGGTTGGACCAACTGGCCTGTTGGTCCTATGGACCGGTTGGACCAACTGGCCTGTTGGTCCTATGGACCGGTTGGACCAACTGGCCTGTTGGTCCTATGGACCGGTTGGACCAACTGGCATGTTGGTCCTATGGACCGGTTGGACCAACTGACCTTTTAGCCGAATGGACCGGTTGGACCAACTGGCCTGTCGACCGAATGGACCGGTTGGACCAACTGGCCTGTCGGCCGAATGGACCGGTTGGACCAACTGGCCTGTTGGTCCTATGGACCGGTTGGACCAACTGGCCTGTTGGTCCTATGGACCGGTTGGACCAACTGGCATGTTGGTCCTATGGACCGGTTGGACCAACTGGCCTGCTGGTCCTATGGACCGGGTGGACCAACTGGCCTGTTGGTCCTATGGACCGGTTGGACCAACTGGCCTGTTGGTCCTATGGACCGGTTGGACCAACTAGCATGTTGGTCCTATGGACCGGTTGGACCAACTGACCTTTTGGCCGAATGGACGAGTTGGACCAACTGGCCTGTCGGCCGAATGGACCGGTTGGACCAACTAGCCTGTCGGCCGAATGGACCGGTTGGACCAACTGGCATGTTGGTCCTATGGACCGGTTGGACCAACTGGCCTGTTGGCCGAATGGACCGGTTGGACCAACTGGCCTGTTGGTCCTATGGACCGGTTGGACCAACTGGCCTGTTGGTCCTATGGACCGGGTGGACCAACTGGCCTGTTGGTCCTATGGACCGGTTGGACCAACTGGCCTGTTGGTCCTCTGGACCGGTTGGACCAACTGGCTTGTTGGTCCTGTGGACCGGTTGGACCAACTGGCCTGTTGGTCCTGTGGACCGGTTGGACCAACTGGCCTGTTGGTCCTATGGACCGGTTGGACCAACTGGCCTGTTGGTCCTGTGGACCGGTTGGACCAACTGGCCTCTTGGTCCTGTGGACCGGTTGGACCAACTGGCCTGTTGGTCCTGTGGACCGGTTGGACCAACTGGCCTGTTGGTCCTGTGGACCGGTTGGACCAACTGGCCTGTTGGTCCTGTGGACCGGTTGGACCAACTGGCCTGTTGGTCCTGTGGACCGGTTGGACCAACTGGCCTGTTGGTCCTATGGACCGGTTGGACCAACTGGCCTGTTGGTCCTATGGACCGGTTGGACCAACTGGCATGTTGGTCCAACGGCATGTTGGTCCTATGGACCGGTTGGACCAACTGGCCTGTTGGTCCTATGGACCGGTTGGACCAACTGGCCTGTTGGTCCTATAGACCGGTTGGACCAACTGGCCTGTTGGTCCTATAGACCGGTTGGACCAACTGGCCTGTTGGCCGAATGGACCGGTTGGACCAACTGGCCTGTTGGTCCTATGAACCGGTTGGACCAACTGGCCTGTTGGCCGAATGGACCGGTTGGACCAACTGGCCTGTTGTTCCAATGGACCTGTTGGACCAACTGACGTGTTGTTCCTATAGATCGGTTGGACCAACTGGCCTGCTGGTCCTATGGACCGTTTGGACCAACTGGCCTCTTGGTCCTATGGACCGGTTGGACCAACTGGCCTGTTGGCAGAATGGACCGGTTGGACCAACTGGCCTGTTGGCCAAATGGACCGGTTGGACCAACTGGCCTATTGGTCCTATGGACCGGTTGGACC